TCTTTTTTCTTTTTCTTTCCCCTATACAATTGTGTTTCATATTTTCTTATAAATGACTTTGAGTTTTATTGTTTAATGTTTTTTAAAAAACTTTCAATAAAATTGTTATTAAAAATAGCAAGTGTGTCACAGGGGACCCAGAAGTGCATGTGGATGTTTAATTGTTTTTAAGTTATTGTTTTTCCCTAAGTTTTTAGCTTGTTGTTTAGTCCTTTAGTCGTGTCCAACTCTACGTGACCCCATGGACCAGAGCACGCCAGGCACTCCTGTCTTCCACTGCCTCCTGCAGTTTGGTCAAACTCATGCTGGTAGCTTCGAGAACACTGTCCAACCATCTCGTCCTCTGTCGCCCCCTTCTCCTTGTGCCCTCCATCTTTCCCAGCATCAGTGTCTTTTCCAGGGAGTCTTCTCTTCTCATGAGGTGGCCAAAGTCTTGGAGCCTCAGCTTCACGATCTGTCCTTCCGGTGAGCACTCAGGGCTGATTTCCTTAAGAATGGATGCGTTTGATCTCCTTGCAGTCCATGGGACTCTCAAGAGTCTCCTCCAGCACCATAGTTCAAAAGCATCAATTCTTCGGCTATCAGCCTTCTTTATGGTCCAGCTCTCACTTCCATACATCACTACTGGGAAAACCATAGCTTTAACTTTAAGTTTTTAGCTATTTTATCTGTAAGCTCTTATTTTATCTGTAAGCTACCTTGAGTCCTGTCAGGGAAGGAAGGAAGGAAGGAAGGAAGGAAGGAAGGAAGGAAGGAAGGAAGGTAATAGTAGTAGTAGTAGTAATGATGATGATAATAATAATAATAATAATAATAATAATAATAATAATAATAAACATCCCAAATTCAACTTGTAATCTTCAAAAGGTATTTCTGTTCTCTGAGTAATCCCAATTGATTTTGTACCTATGGATTCTACTTTGCTGCTGTTGATGATGATGTCCTTTCTAGCAAGGAACAAATGACACTCCATTGCCAGAAGAAGGAGAATTTAAGGGCTTGATGCAGAAGTCTTTGAAAGAAAGGCTTTTACTGTCCTTGCAGCCTCCTCCCATTTCTCTGCTAACAAGATCAGAACCAGTTGCAGTGGCAACTCAAAGTCATCCCTGCCGCCTGCTCTAGTGCAACGTCCAGACCAGCAGTGGGAATCCTTCCAAGAGCCCAGCAATAAAATTACCAAGTAAATCCTTTTTGCTGCCTATTCAGTTTTAATGAAAAACTGGTCTGGTACCAAATCAGGCTCCTAAAGCAACAACAGTCTTGTTTCCAATTACAAGCAAAGCAAGGCCAAATTCTTGCTTCTTTGGTGGATGTTCTTGCCATGTCCTGATCACAATAATGAAAAAGTAGCAGAGCTGACCCAATTTGACCACAAGGCAAAATGGGGATGGGAAGAACTGGTAGAAATGTTCTGGAATACTTTCCTGTGGGAGTTGCCATGTTATTGATGTGCAGCAATCTTTTACACAGGAGAAAAATAAGATATAGCAAAGAACATAGCAGATAATAGATATAGATCAGCAGGTGATTTGTTGTGGATGAAGTGTATGTTAGACAAAAGTTGTGTTGGGCCAGTAAAGAAGAAAATGCAAGACCTTTTACTAGGGTTAATAAAAATACACAAATTAGTGAAAACGATTTATAATATTGTTCTTGAGAACTCTTGTTTAGATGTTCAAGTGTCTCTGTGTTTGAAAACTGGAGAGAAAGAAAAAGACCAAACTCTGTAGTTTTTAACAGCACTGATATAAAACCAATATATCATGTTCAGGTGACAAAATGTATGACAATCTTAGAAGATTTGGAGCATAATCAAAGTGAGGAAGACTTTGATGAAACACGAACAGTTCAGTTTCCAGCATGTTGAGGTTGAAATTCCTGCATTGGGCTAGATGACCCTCAGGGTCCCTTCCAACTCTACAATTATAGGGTACTGTGAGATGGGACGCTGGTGGCGCTGTGGGTTGAACCACAGAGCCTAGGGCTTGCCTGATCAGAAGGTCGGTGGTTCAAATCCCCGCAACGGGGTGAGCTCCCGTTGCTCGGTCCCTGCTCCTGCCCACCTAGCAGTTTGAAAGCACGTCAAAGTGCAAGTAAATAAATAGGTACCGCTTTATAGCGGAAGGTAAACAGCATTTCTGTGCACTGCTCTGGTTTGCCAGAAGCGGCTTAGTCATGCTGGCCACATGACCCGGAAGCTGTACACCAGCTCCCTTGGCCAGTAAAGCGAGATGAGCGCCACAACCCCAGGGTCGTCCGCGACTGGACCTAATGGTCAGGGGTCCCTTTACCTTTAGCTTATGAGATGGTGATAAACCCATCCTTCTCTTGAGGCAAGCTGAAAGTGAGGACATGAGGAGCAACTGTGTTCCATAGATTTGTAGGAAGAGATGTTGCTTTAAAATGAATGAATAGGTCTAACTACTGAACTAAACTACTCACTCCATTTCCATTTCCATCTCCTTGATGACAATAGCATCACCTATGACAGCCAGGCATAAAAGTAGGGATGTTATGTTCATTCAAACAGGGCACTCAAAAAAACCAGGGTCAAGGCAAGCACAGTTCTGTTCATGTAAATCTTGCCTCTACAGCCGCCACCCCTTCACTGATCCCCGAACTCAAAAACTGGAGTGGTGGCAGATGCTTGCAAGCCCCAGCAGAGCATCTTTAGTCCTCTAAGCCCATCCCAGGGTCCTTGGAGTGCCCACTGCTATCTCTGCTGCCATCTGACCCTGCCCCAAAGGTAAGTTGTTAGATTGGGGGGATGATTGGAAGAGAAGGTAAGACAGGTGTCAGGTAAGTTGTAGCAGCTCAAACTGAGCACCTTCAAAAGATCAGCTTCTTTTGGAGCAAACTACAGAGTACTCATGAATCCCCAACATAAAGTCTTGGCTTTACCTCTTATTTCTCAGTTTGTGTTGTGCCCCATATTCTCTCTATGGTTGTCACACCAGTTCTTTCTTACAGGTAGTTAATATTGTTCAATTCCAGCAGAAATCAGGCCTCACTCTGGCTGGATCTAACACAGCAAAAATAACATGATTCTCTTAAACGTGTTGTAAACTTCTTAAAGGGAAATCCCATTGGCAAACGACGGGACTCCACAGTGCCATCTGGTGTCACAGTGTTGTAACTCATATAAAGCGCTTTTTCTTTTCTAGGGTAGCCGAGTCCTCTGTCTCTCAGCTGCCCAGCCTGCTTCCTGCTTCTAGTTCACACATCTCTACTCTAGCTTTGACAGTTGAGGGAGGGGGCTCCCCCATTTGTCCTCTGGCAGAGATCCATTTCTTTTGGTATCTAATGATGAATGTTAGAAAAATGTTGGAATGAAGTTATATGGCTTTAGTAGAAATGTTATAAGGAATTAAGTATAAATAGATTATTAGAGCATTAAAGGGAAAAATAAGGTTAGAATGTGTTAAGACAATTATAGGATAGAAAATAGAGGAAGATGGAAAGGAATTGCTGAAACAATTAATAGAAGTGGAATACAAAAAGGGAGGTGTGAGGAGGTCGTGGAAATTAGTGAAAGAAGGATAAAATATTGAAATTGGACTGTGTTTTAAATGGTTTTTGTTTTGTTTTGTTAGTTGTATGTTAGTGTTTTGCAGGGTTTTTTTGTATTGTATTGTATTATTGTATGTTTTTTCTTTTTTGGTTTTTTGTAGTGTTGTGTTCAATCTGTTGGGAAACTAATAAATATTATTATAAAAAAAAATCTTTTGGTATGGACCCATGCTTAGGGGCCATTAGCAAGAAACTTGTATGCCTATTCCAGCAATTGGATCCTTGTTGGATATAAGACTCAGGCATACAGTCTACCCCCACCTCACCCCACCCCCCAAACACCTCAAAACAGTATGTATACCAAAAGTATGGTCCTTCTTTTGGTTCCAGCCAGTAAAAGCCCTCCTTGAATCTAGATGAAATTTCCTCATTACACACCAGTAAATTCACATTTCCAATCACCCTACTGGTGTGATACATCTCAGCAGTATTCATGGGAAGCAAAAGGTGTTACTCTTGCACTGAGAAAGATATTTATAACTAACTTGTCAGCAGGAACAAAACTGCAAATTTGCACATTTTTGCTGTAGTTTAAGGTGTTACGGAAATTACAAATATTCTCTCATATGCCAAGACTATAAAGGCTGCCAGAGTGAAATTGCCATAATCTGCCTTGAGTCTTTAGGGCAGGAGGTGCTGTAAATAAAGAATTCCACTTTTAACTGCAAGGGAAGAAGAAGAGTTTGGATTTTGCCACACGTGATAGTAGTCCAGCAGAACGTAACCGTCTGCATGCTCTCTAGTTGTCAGCATTTCCCAGTTCATGGTTAAGAAGAGCCTACACAGTTCAGTTCAAAGCATAAGGTGTGGAGCAGCCTCCCATCAGATGTCAAGGAGATAAAAAACTTTTAGAAGACACCTGAAGTTGGGAAGTTTTTAATGTTTGGCATTTTACTATGTTTTTATATGTGCTGTAAGCTGTCCAGAGTGGCTGGGGTAACCCAGCCAAAAGGGCGAGTATAAACACACTAACATAAGAGATGCTAGTGCATTATGAACTATTCTACTAAGTACAATTCTCTGGTCGTAGAAGTAAAGCTGTTGTGATCCAAATATACAGAGTGATCCACTAGCACTTTACCATGCTAGCTCACCATGCTTTACCAACACCACATAACGTGATACTTTCAGCTGAATGATTTATGTAGGACCACCAATGGACAAGGCACTTTACACAGTATGGTGCTTTTGTTTAAAGGCTTAGGAGTTAGGGGAGCAATGGAATCAGGGGCAGGAAGGGAGAGAAAGGTGGACATGTGCCAATGCAGTGCTTGGTGCTTGGGTTTTCTTTGGGCTGGAGATGCCAGGTTTTAATAAGCCTTATCACCATTTAACTGTCATTTAATTTTAAAGATTAATCAGTTGAGATTCTGATGTTCTCTCTCTCTCTCTCTCTCTCTCTCTCTCTCTCTCTCTCTCTTTGTAGGCAATATTCAAATCAACTAGTCAAGCCAGAACCAACAGAACATGAATGGAAATATTCCATTTTCACAATCACCGGCAGCATATAATGAGCCACATCCCTCAAGCACACAGCTAGCCACAGTCCTCTCGAATGAGAGCAAGTGGCCAACAGAGCAAGCAGAAACCCCTGGCATCACATCCAGCATCCGGAACAATGCTGACGAGCCACCCAGATCAATGTACAAAGGCACAGATCAGGGTTCCTGTGCGGAAAATGCAATCCAACATCAGGGAGCAGCAGCAGACACAAGGAGGGAGAAGGCTCTGCAGCAGGGAAGGGGGCAGCAAGAACAGTCCGGAAGTGCCAGGGACAGTATCAGCAGCCTGGTGCTGACAAATGGGTTACACACAGAGTCTGAGTCTGGAGAACAGAGAGATTTTGACAGCAAGGGGGAAGCTCTGACACAGACTCAAACCACTCCGAGGACTGGTGCTGCTGCTTTGGAAAAGAACACGGTGCTATTCAGTGAGACACTCAGCAATGCAGGGTTGCATCTACAGCAGGGTGTTGCAGAGCTGTTTGATCCGGAGGATGGAGAACAACAGATAAGGTAACAGAAATGTAGTCCATTCATTTGATACTCAGATTAGTGTGTATGCCTTTGAGTTTCTCCTGAAAGCTGCCTTAAGCTGGGACCTGGGTTTGGGAATGCCACTACCAAATAAACATTTTCAAGGCTGCCGCTGGCTCAGAGGTTGCCTTCCTTTGCTGCCCCTTTTGTTCCTCCTTTCCCCAGTGTGTCAGCTTTTTATTTAAAGGGCTGGTACTCCAACTTGGAGTCATCCCCTGGGGTTCTTCCCTCTGCCTTCTCCAACAGGAATTCCTAGGCAAGTAAACTTCCTTGGATGGTGGGTGGGCTGATTCAGATTTCTCACCTGAATAGCCTGAGCCAGCCCCAGGATTCTGTGACTGTGTTACCTCTTTGACACAAAATCCAGACACAAAGGAATTAATTATCTGAGGAGTTGTGCAGTATGTCTTGTATGTCAGAAGCTTCTTGCAGCCTTGCTCAAATGTTTCCCATTTTGGAGCCAGATTCTGTCTTCTTGGTTCTATTTATCATCCTTCTACTTATCAAAGAATTTATCATTCTTTGAAGTTCTCATTCCACCCCTTTCTCTGCTAAAGAAGCAAACTGCTTTTCTTGTTTTAAAAATTAACGCAAAAACATTTTGCCTCTTCAGCATGTCATGGAGGTGTCTAAGAAAAAAACAGGCTGTTAGATATTTTATGGTCTTAGAGAGCATCTTGTGCTACAGCGGTTGACTAGATTATTGCAAAAGTTATATTCTAGGATCAGGTATGTTTCACTGCAAAAGCTTTCCTATATTCTGTGATTTTCATCTCTACTCTTGAAACCCAATTCGCAAATTATGCTATCTCTGAAAAAAATGACATTCAGTGAGTGCAACTTCTTTATTGTTGAGTGGTATGATTTCATTTCAGCTTCACTGGTGCAGAATGCAAGCTAAGTTGCAGTGATGATGACAGGGAAGATTTTGCATTCAAAGACATCAGGGACGGATTCAGTTCTACCTTTGAAAAAATTGTTGAATCTGACCTCATGAAGGGTACATACTATAGCAGTCTGGATTCCTTGGATGTGCTCTCACTGACAGATGAGACAGACAGCTGTGTTAGCTTTGAAGCTCCACTCACACCTCTTATTCAGCAAAGAACTAAGGAAAGCTCTGAACTTTTAGAACAGAAACTCCTTGCTCACGGGAAGGAAGTCCTGGAGCCCACAAGAACAGATAAGCAGGAAGACGCAATGGCCGGGGCGATAGATGGTGACTCTGGGAGCCCCCTGAAGCATTCCATCACCAGCAGCCGGTCCGAAAATGTGCTGAGCAGGGTATCTCTGAAAAACGTCCCAAATGGGTACCACATGGAGAGACCAGAAGAAGATGCCACAAGGCTTATTAATTCAATCAGGTAAAATGACCCTCTTATACTAACAGCTGTCAATAAGTTGGATATTTGCAGTTGATTAACTGTGCTGTTTTAACCAATTATTCACTAATGAATCACTTAAACTCAGCTTTATTTCATATTCTTGATGTTGTTGCGATATTTATAGAGCTGCAGGCTTTATTAATTGTTGGATGCTAAATTTGATTGAAGAGAGTGATGCATAGATTTTGTTTATTAAATTGTTATCACATTTTCATAAGTATCTTCAGAAGGCACTTGTACTGAGATTCTGATGACATGCAGATATATTCCTAATTAATATAACCCTAGTTAATATATTAATTGGTTAAAGACAGATTATTAATTGCATTATTAATAATTAATTAATTAATTAATTGCATTATTAATAAACTGAAGTGGCAATCCTATACCCACATACCTGGGAGCAAAGCCCATTAAACTTAATGGTACTTATTTCTGAATATAGGTTTGCACTTTAAATTGCATTGATTGGTCAACAACCCTAATTATTTATATATTGCCTCAGTGCTTAAGAAAGCAGGGTCGGGAGGGAAAGGCAGCATGCGACTCAAGGACTTTACAGTCTTAGTTTTTACTATAGGAGAGAGAAGGAGGGAAGAGATAAATGATGGAAATATATTATCAGGGTTTCTTTCTATAGACTCCACTTCTTGTTCATTCAGCTTTAGAAAATGCTCTCTACCTTCAGGAATTCTGCTAGATGTGATATCAAATGCCTTAATTTGCACCTGATGTGCAAGTTTTTAGGGAGTTAATAATTATCTAGCTTACTGTGGGCACCGATAGTTGCCAAGATCCCTACAATCAGGGAGGACAATCGTCATCGTTTTCTCCGCACCCCATAATCGCCTTTGACTGGATTTAACCTTCCAGGGGTCCTTTCCCTTTTTACCTTACAGTGCTTAGGGAAGCCCCTTTTCTGAAGCTGCTTGTTTGCATTGGGAGGAAATCTCTCATCAGCCCCAGTCCACTTTGGCCAGGGGCTTCCTTTACACCCCACAGAGGGCCTGTCTTCTTTCTGCCCTCCAGAAGCAAGAAAGTCCCCACGGCAGGGAAGTCAATGTTGCTTTCTCTCCCCATCGCCAGCCAATATAGTCAGTCTCCCACCAACCAACCCCCCCATTAGCACAATATCATTCCCTAGGTAATGTCAGGCTTGCTTTTATTAAGCCCTACTCCTTGATGCACTATGTACAAAAGAATTTTTTTAAGAGGCTTTCTTCTTGGCGACATAGGGACACCACTTCAGAATCAGGGACTATGGCATGGTATGGCCGATATATGTTTGGTCACGTAGCTCCTTGGCCAGTTCTATATAGAGGTGAGAAAGCTTGATGGGTGTGAAGTATATTGCAGATCTGGTGGGGTGGGAAGAGCAGGTCATGTCATGTTCCGTACAATTCATAGTCTAAAGTTGAAGAAATTACAACTGTAGCAGTGCTGAGAGGGCAGGCGGCTTGCAGTGGCAGAAATCAGATTTTTACACCCTGCGCTTCCATGATTTGATATTTGGGGTATTTGTAGCATTTGGGGGTCTTCGTATGATTCTGTTCAGGCACACCATTGGTTTTGAAGCCAGAGGAGTTGCATATTGTGTGGGGTTTGGGCTAAAGGATGGGTGCCTCAAACCAACATACGATGGCTATGATTCTAGTATTAAATGATAGTAGCTATTGAATGGCAGCAAAAGTGTTAACTGCAAACATTTGTAACAACAGTTTGATTCTACTGGGGGGGAAAGGAATATAAAATAAATTATATAAAATAGATAAAATATGGAATATTACAGTTCTATATAAGCTTATGAATTTATATAATGTACTCAAAATTACACAAGGAAAGAGAATTCTGGATACATCTTAAAAGGAAAGGTGTAGTTTTATTGCTACTGCAATAAGAGATATTTTTTAAAATATAAGTTGTTATGGGATTTCATGTTTTTCTGTATTTTCTATTTAAAATGTTAATTAAAAATGTTAGTTTTCAGTAAACAACCATAAAAAGGCTACATCTTTATCTTATAGTAAAGTTATATTGAAGTTCTTTAGGATAGGTACATTTTTTTTCTTTTTTCATTTGCAAAATGCCATATATTCTAAAGGTGCTATAAGGCCAGTGCACAGTCCCAAGACAGAAACCAGGTTAAATCCCAGATGTATGGAATAAATAAGATGTACGGAAAGGAGGACATATCTATAAATGTGTCAAGATCAGAGCACAGGTTTCTAATCATAACAGCCTAAAAGGGCCTTAAACATTTGGGTCTAAAGGCTGCTTCTGAACATTGTCACACTAGAATCTGTGCTCAGGTAGAGAAAGGCAGCATATTGAGATGGTTGTGTTTCTGCTCTGCATGGAAGCGACAGCTCAGCCCGTTGCTGCTCATCTCTTTCCATGTATTTTAAGCGATCGTTTATAAAAAAATATACTTGAGTGTTCCATACTCATAGTGCGTATGTTTTGTACCTGAAGGCAACCTGTTAAAGTAGTATGAATCCTAACATATGTTAACTCTCGACAGCTGTCTTCATAATAAAACTATCCTATCAACTCATTAATCTGGAAGTCTTAATTGATGATCTTTGGCTTCTTGAGAGACCACAGAAACAATGGTTACATATCATTTGAATTGTTTTTGTTAAATAGTGGGTAGACATGGCAGACGACACAGCGATTTCTCCAAAGCAGCTCTTTATTTTGTAAGCTGGAACAGAACTGAACTGAACAGCAGACAGCTCAGTCAGCCTGCTTTTATAGGCAGCCGGCTGTCAACATTGTAGCAACAACAACCCAGGGTTTCCCGCCTAAAATAACTGACGTGGACCTGAGTGAAAACTATCTACGGCATCCCCCTGCTGGCCCAGGGTGAGAACTTCAGTACATAACAGTTTTGTACAGACTGAAGCTGTGCTCCTGACTTACCCCAAATCCTGGTATATTGTGAAGTGTGACCCCTGTATTCCACACATCCTATATGTGGAATGCTGAGGTCTTCATCAGGCATTTTAAGACAGGGGTAGGCAACCTAAGTCCTGGGGGCCGGATGCGGCCCATTCGCCTTCTCAATCCGGCCCGCGGACGGTCCAGGAATCAGCATGTTTTTACATGAGTAAAATGTGTCTTTTTATTTAAAATGCATCTCTGGGTTATTTGTGGGGCATAGGAATTCGTTCACACCCCTTCCCCCAAATATAGTCTGGCCCACCACATGGTCTGAGGGATGGTGGACCGGCCCATGGCTGAATAAGGTTGCTGACCCATGTTTTAAGATAAGGCAGAAAAATCCTGTTTTGATGATCCGAACATATAACATGTAAGAAATGTAGGAAAAAATACATTTAAACCAGTGTCTGCCAATGTGGCATCCGCTTGTGGAAAACTACTCTCATATCTATTTGAACAACTTATCAATGTAGATTTGGGGCAAAAATATAGTACTTTGTAAAAACAACATGGTTTAATTGATGGGGGTATTGTTATGCCTGATAGCTTCACTACCCTGTTAAACTTTTGCTTATTTAGCTGTGTGTTGCTGTTGTTTTGTCCTTGCAGTGATGCCAGCATAAAAGATGCCCTTTCTGACTCAGACTCTGATATGGGCAGCACAGAACAACTTGACCAGGGAAGCACAGACACCCTTGTCAATGGCTGCAAGGCAGACAACGCGGCTGCCAAGAGACTGGCCAAACGCCTGTATCACCTCGAAGGTTTCAAGCACTGTGACGTAGCCCGCCAGCTGGGAAAGAAGTAAGTGCCATCATCAAAGAACCAGGATAAGTGCAGAGCCAAAGGGGGAGGGGGTGTTTTCATGAAAGGGGTGCCCTCCCTTTACCGTAATTTGCCACAGAATATGAAAACGTTTGCAAAGGTCTGGAAGTGAGGAGGAAGAGAGAAGATGCCCCTGCTTTTGTAGCAATTGGAGCAAATCCAATTCCCTTACCCTGATCCAGTTGCACATAAAATGTGGATGGAGATGCTCATTGAAGGAAGTGCAACATGGGTGAAAAAGATCCCCATTTGATTGATCTGAATGTGCGTCCTTACCTACCTTGTCCCAACTAGTCATGCCTACTAAATAGCCAATGCAGTGTGGCCAGAGTGGGAGAGAGACAGTATACTCAGAGCAGACCCACTGAAATTAATGGACTTAACCGAGTCATGTTAGGAGAGCCAGTGTGGTGGGATGGTTAGAGTACTGGACGAGGATCTTGGAGAGCAGGGTTTGAATGAAGTGCAGTAGGTGACCTTGGGCCAGTCACCACCTCCTATCCTAACCCACCTCACAGGGCTGTTGTGAGGATGAAATGGGGAGGAGAAGAAGCATGTAAACCACCTTGAGATCCTTGGAATATGAAGGTAGTGTATACATGCAATAAATTAACTAAATAAATAAATGTTCATTAGTTTCAGTGGATCTACTCTGTCGAAAAACATAGCCACCTCTGGTTGCAATGTGACATTGCCATGCTCTCTATGTGGTTTCTGAATGGCTTTAGAAAAACTTTTTTTTAAAAAAATCACCCAAGCAGCAGCAGATTGGAGAAACAGTGGTTGAAAAAGGTATGGAGAAACTTTGTTGAATTTATAACATAAAAGGTTTCCCGCTAACATTTCTCCACCACTATTATTATCTAGACAATCTCCACAGTGAAAAAAAAAAGGTTTAAGTTTCCCCAAATTCAGTTCCTCCATGGAAAGCTTCACCCCTTTGCAGAGGGTTTAATTGTGTCAGGGCTCACGCAAGGCTTTATCTTGGAATCTTTTCCATTTGAGGTCTTAGCCCTGGGACACATGCATATGTACCTTTCCCCTGAGCACCTATAGAGTCAACTTCCACCAACAGTAAACTGCGGTCAGAGATTAGAGACAGAGTGTGTCTTTCAGGGCTTGCTTCAAATCAGCACCACTCCCTCCCTCTCTCTAATATTTTATTATGTGGGGAAACTGAGCCCATGTTTCTTGTTGTACTTCTGCTCTTAAGGCTTGCTGTATGGCAAATCTGAAAAGGGTCAATAGTTCTTGTCCCCATCCCACAATATTAGCATTCACATTTAAATATATTTTGCACTCAAATGTATGTCTTGAAACTAAATGGGGCAGTTTCCCATCAGAACACTTGTTTCTGAGAGAAGGGGCACCTACTAATTTAAAGTCCCAAACAGCACGAAAATAGCTTTATTACAATGTCTCCCGAAGGGCACATTGACCTCATTTGCTGAAAAAAGAGGAACCTGGTTTTCTAAGTGACAGCTTCTCCTGACATTGTGTTCCTGCTTTCCATTTTTGTTTCTAATTTAAAGTTTAAAGAGAGGAAGGAGAGAGATGATGGGGAAGAGGGCTGGGGAAGCATTCCCCAGAGACAAGCAAAGGATTGATGCTTAAAAAGGAATAGGCATATGCTAGAGATTTCAAATCTACTAGGGCCAGTTCAAGTCTTCAAATATAAACTCCACCTTTCTATACAGCCCTTCATCTGAGGATCACAGGGTGGTTTACCATATAAAAATGCAAAAATACACAACAGAGCAACAGGCAAACCCAATAACCCCGACAGTTTAATAGATTGTTTAAAACCAGCAGTGTCTCTTGGGCCCAGACTTGGCAGCCCATACAGTTGCAGCAGAAGCAGTCTTCCCCGATGAGCACCCTGGCTGCTGATTCCTACACCCGCTGAAGTTTCTGAACCAGCTTCAGAGGCAGTCTCACATATAACGTGTTGCAGTAATTTATTCTAGAGAGGCTTCCAGAGCATAGACAACAGAAGTTAGGGCTGTCCCTGTCCAGATAGGGGTGCAGCAAGGCCACCAGCCGAGGCTGATGGAAGGCAATCAGTGCCACGGAGACCACCTGAGGCTCAAGCAACAGCAAAGGATCCTGAAGGACCCCCCAAGCTGCATTCCCCCTCCTTCAGGTCTAGGCAACTGCCCACTAATAGTGCCATAGTCTTATTTGGATTCAGCTTCAGTTTGTTGGCTCTCTTCCAGTCCATTACCAAAGCAAGGCAACAGTCTAGCTCATCCACTGCCTCACCTGCAGATGTAAAGGAGAAGTATTATCACCAAGCAATGCAGGAATCTCATCTAAAGCATCCATGATAGATGGCCATCCAACCTCTCCTTAAACACCTCCCAGGAAGGAGAGCCCACAACCTCCCAAGGGAGATCATTCCACTGTCAAACAGCTCTTGCTGTCAGAAAGCTCTTCTTGATGTTTCATCAGAATCTCCTTTCTTGTAACTTGGAGCTGTTAGTTTGGCTTGCTCCTTTTTGATGTGACAGCCCTTGATATATTAGAAGATGGCTACCTTATATCCTCTTGGTCTCCACTTCTCCAGGCTAAACATACCCAATTCCCTCAACCATTCCTCATAAGGCTTTATTATCTTGGTCACCCTCCTCTACACACATTCCAACTTGCCAATATCCATCTTAAATTGTGGGGCCCGAACTGGACACAACACTCCAGGTGTGGTATGACCAAGGCAGGATAAAGGTAAAGGGACCCCTGACTGTTAGGTCCAGTCGTGGCCGACTCTGGGGTTGCAGCGCTCATCTCACTTTATTGGCCGAGGGAGCCGGCGTACAGCTTCCGGGTCATGTGGCCAGATGACTAAGCCGCTTCTGGCGAACCAGAACAGCGCACGGAAACGCCATTTACCTTCCCCTCCGGAGCAGTACCTATTTATCTACTTGCACTTTGACATGCTTTAGAACTGCTAGGTTGGCAGGATCAGGGACTGAGCAACAGGAGCTCGCCCCGTCGTGGGGATTTGAACTGCTGACCTTCTGATCGGCAAGCCCTAGGCTCTGTGGTTTAGACCACAGCGCCACCCACGTCCTTTAAGGCAGGATAGAGCAGTACTATACTTCTGTTGATGCAGCCTAGAATAGCATTATCTTTTTTGCAGTTGCACTAAAAAAAATCAATTAAATTTTCCTCAGGGATGTCCCCACCCATTGGTCCACCTGAGGTGAAACAGGAAGGTTCTGTCTCCTCACCCCAGCCTCGCTTACTGGGGTCACACAGATCTCAACAGAAGAAGCTGCAGCCACACAACCCCAGTAGACCCCAGAGCCAGTGTGGTGTAGTGGTTAAGAGTGGTGGACTCGTAATCTGGTGAACCGGGTTCGAGTCTCCGCTCCTCCACATGCAGCTGCTGGGTGACCTTGGACCAGTCACACTTCTCTGAAGTCTCTCAGCCCCACTCACCTCACAGAGTGTTTGTTGTGGGGGAGGAAGGGAAAGGAGAATGTTAGACGCTTTGAGACTCCTTTGGGTAGTGATAAGGCTGGATATCAAATCCAGACTCTTCTTCTTCCCAGTGGCAGCAGGGGCAGGTGGGGCACTCGTGGGGGCACTGCTACCCAAGGTGGCTGTTTCAGCCTGCCTCAGGGGTTGGCCGGTCCTGATTTCCCTGCAGACATCGGTTCCCATCATGACTTTCTCTGCTTTTCATAGTTGCTCTCTGGAAAGGGAAATATAGCAACTGAGCTAAGAAATTGCTCACGAGATGACCAAAAGATGCCAAATGACTAGATCAAGGAGAAAAGGATATCGCCTTGCTCTGCAGCGGAGACATCTCTGCTGTGCTTGTGCTTTCTAAGCCTAATTTCTTTCTGCTTTTACTGCTTGTCTTTAAACACTGCACAATATGACTGGTAAATGAGAGGGCTTGATCTTGGGCTAATTCTGGCCCAAGAGCCTTCATCTGAGGGTCACAGAAGAGCTGTGTGTCATCAGAATATTGCTGACGATACACTCCAAAACTCTGGCTGACCCCACTCAGCAGTTTGATGTAGAGAGAGAACCAGTGGGGTGCTTATGTCTGGATACAAACTCTTTAGGGAGGACAGGCAAGGGTGTCACTCTGAACATCTATGAGGTTGGGAATCCCAAAAAGGGCAGACTGGATACCAGCCCCACCCTGCCTAGGAATGTACTGTTGTCCTCCTGACCATAATCCCCATGCTGGTCTTGAGAGAGCTGGCCTGGATAACCCATTATGCTATATGAATAAATATCCTAGGAGAATTATTGTTCCAGCATTTATGCTGTTTCAGAAAGGCAATATGAAAATTTAATAACTCAAAGGAATGTTAATGTTTTTTTCTTTGGGAAGATTTTTTAAAAGACTTTTAGTTACTTTTATTCTTACTCCTGTTGGAATACTAGAGCTGCGGCAGGAGTTAACAAACATGATTTCAAGTATACATAACATGTGAATTGGAGTTTCATGTAAAAACACACTCCCATCAATCACAATGTTTTCTTTTTGTTCTTCTTGTTTGCTTGGCATAGCCTGGGGAACAGTGGTCAAGATGCTTTGATTATTCACAGGCATTTAGTATGGCAACAAATGACTCACTTTTACTCTCATCTCTATCACTTACTGGTAAATCCCACACTCACCAGCAATGCTCGGAAGTTGTGGAAATTAATGTGCTTTTGTTACATATATTGCTTCTCCATATGAATTGTATATATACTAATAAATGCATTTGTTAAAAGCAACAGTGATGGGACACCTTAAAAACTAAAACGTAAGCTTTCATAAGCTGTCATAGACAACAGTCTACCAGGTAGACAGAAAGACAACAGTCTATCAGGTGCCATAAGGCTCTGTTCTTTTTGCTGCAAGACCTACCCATCTGAAAATTCATTTATTGCAACAAATCAATGCTGGTAGATATGTGCAAAGAGCAATCTGGATGTGGCGGATTTCAACCTGCACCAGTGAATGGCACCAGAAATGAGAACAAAATCTGGTAATTTACCCAGGCAAGCTTGTTGTGAGAGTTACCATTATTGCAACAAAATATTCCATATCCTTGCTTACCACATCAGCTCCGGTTCTTTGATCTGTATAAAGCCTTCATTGCTAGCAGTTCTCCTGGCTAGCTCCCAAGTCCTGACAGTTCGTTTAATAACTACTATTCACCGGTCACTGAGAATTCTAGTGTCTGCTTCATTAATACAATAATGAAGCAAACATTAAAAGGGGGAAGGACGTCCAAGTCACACAATAAGTCAAAAATACATACATTTACATAGTGAACTTGGAGCATGGATATTTTTCAGTCCAGTGGGATGGCTTGGCTCTGCAGTTGAAAACCAATGGGACTGGAAAGAGCTCATATTTGGCTGGATCAATTTCACTACAGATGGAGGATGTGCTGGGACAAGTATCTAATGTAGGAACACAAACCCATGTTCAGTGGATTGTGGAATTAGATTCTCTGGTGAAGAGTATGCAGAAGTACACTGACTGCGGCCTCTTTAATTACAGTAATGAATTTAGCAAACTGGTAGCAGAAGAATATCTCCGTTTCTTTGACTTCACTGGACTGACCTTGGATAAAGCACTCAGGTGAGCTGCAAGGGCAGGGATCTCAAATGCGTGAGTTAGAGGTAAGGCCCCACACTATCCATTTCTGTTGCCATCGTTTAATTTCAGACATCTCAGGAGTCTAACAAAAATCAAGCACTTTCAACTCTTTATTTACAAATGCTGCCTTTAAATAGGTAAGTTTTATCAGCCGCATTTTGGGTCATCAGATAAAGGGCAGGCGACTGGGTGGCGGGCCGAGTGTAGCAATAACACAGTTTCATATTGTGATGCTTTCACTTCCCATCTACAGGCAGGGAGCCTTGAGTTTTGTATGAAGGCTGCTGAAGTGGGAAAGAGCTGTTGGATCAACAGAAGTCCCAGTGCTGGCTCATATGTTGCCCCACTGAAATAACAATCAAAGCTGAAGATTAGCATTGCCTTTTCTGTTACCTTTCTGTTCCCTTTGAAAATCCTTAGGGCTTTATGAAACATTATGAGCAAATATGTGTGATGATAGCCTGATAGCTCTTTCAAAAGAGAAAAGTCACTTAAGAGTGATTTCTCACGGAGGTTCCAAATGTATGTTTGCCAGTAGAGGGTAGTTCCAGCAGGAGAAGAGGGGTAGGAATACATTTCTCCATTGGGAAAAGCCCTTCACGAAGCAGCTCCGCCCTCCTGTAAAAAGACATCTGGTTTCAGTATACATGATTCCCCACAACATTTAGTCAGATTCCGTTTCAGACTTCGAGTCCTTTCATTTAGGACACCCAGCCTGTTTAGCCAGAGTACATTTCTTCTCAGTCTCCATTCCCATCTGTTTCTCTCTGCTGTGCATTGCGCTTCTCCCTTCTTCCTCCTGCTAGGTGCTGGGCTTGCTCCAAATGGTTACTTTCTGTATATTTGGATGTCATCTAATACAAGCATACATTTCCCCACTGAAATAGCAGGTCAGACTGTTTCTATATCTGGGAGAGCATTTCCCTTCTTAGCTTCTAAATATTTTCAAAATTGCTGTGTTGAACTGCCAAATGAGACTGCCTGGAAGCTTCAGCTGCACTCAGTACAGCCCCACACCATCTGATGAATGAAAGCTGCTGGGAGCACATCACGCCTGTACTATGATGTCCGCATTGGCTCCTTGTTCCCTTCCAGATACAATTCCAGAAGGTGGCTTTAAACTACATGGCTCTGAAGAGCTTCCATGTGCTTTGGAGACATCTCCACTTGCAGATCCCTTTGCAACATCTGAGATTAGGAGCTTGTTTTTACAGTTTGTGCAACAGATGAAGACAGCAAGAACATGAGGAGAGACTTTCTCTCACTAGAGAGTCACACTTGGGAGTATAAACCTAACCATCTTCCAGATGTGTTGTAAGACTTTTTGGGTCATAGGGACATACGAAGCTGCCTTTTACCAGGTTGTTTGCCCATTTAGACCCTTCTCGTCCTGAGTCCTGTGGGTATAGGGTGGGGTATAAATTTAATAAATAACAATAAAAATAGTAAAACTCTGAGTGCTTGTCCACACTTCTGCTTGTTCAGCACCTCCCCCCACCCCCACCCAGAGAAACCCACACTTTCCAGCCGAATTGAGGCAAATGTCAATCAGGTTTTCCACAGATGGACGTTTGTTACAATTCAGCGGTAAAAGAGGGTTTTCCTGGGGAAAGCAGTGGGGCAAACAGAAGACCGCTTGGACAGAAAGCACAGGACAAGTGGAAAACCTCTTGGACCCGTGCTTTCTAGGCATGGGATAAGCAAGGTGTGGGCGAGCACTGACTGGCAGCCATAGTTCTCCAAATCCTCAGCCTATGGTCTTTTCCATCATGTGCAATCAGATCCTTTAAACTGTAGGTGCAGATTGAACTGGGCCTTCAGCACACAAAGCATGTGCTGTGGCCCCTCCCTGGGTCTCAGGCTGGCAAAGACAGAAGGAATTTTAATTATATTCTTATAACATAGAAACATTTTCCCCTTGTTTTGCTGGAAACTTCCTGCCTTTGGTGTCCACCTCAACTCCTCAGGGTTGCACAGGCTATAAAACTAATTATTTAAGGTTACGAAGGCACACAAAATGGGAAGCAGTGAGAAGAGTTGTGCTAGTTGTTATAAGTGGCATTCCAGGTTTAATCTGACAAGTATCCATGGCACTCACATAACCAGAGCCCACAGTCCTTCTGGATTGCAATAGGAATGTTTAGGCAGAGGCAGAGATGGACAGATGGGTCTGGTTCTGGTTCTTCTCAATTTCACATTTGCTCATTCATAAATTTATTCTATTTCTGGATTAATATGCATTTTAAAAATAAAATCTGCATAACATTTCATACTTAAATAATATTTTATTTATCAATGTACACATTTCTAGATGCATTTTATCTGAATATATGCATTTGTAATGCATTCTGTAATGCCTTCTTTAAAGCAATGAACTGTATCAAGATATGAAGTTTCCCCCCTTTCACATGTTAGTCCAGGAGTTGTGAATCAAGTCAGATAGATTCATTCATTCATTTATTCATTCATTCCTTCACCTAACACAGTGTTTCCCAAACTTTTTTGGGCAACGGCACACCTGTTTACTGAAAAAAAATCTCACGGCACACCACCATTAAAGCCCCGCCCCGTGACGTCAGCGCGCAGCGTCACGCCGGGAGGGACGCAGGAAAGTGAAAGTTTTTTCCCTCCCCCTTGCCGGGGAACCTCCAAGCTTTGGGGGTGGGAGGAGGCAGCAGAGCGAGGGACTGAGGGACGGCGGCAAGTCCCGCCCCCTCGCCAGACTCCCTGCTCGGCTCGGCTCACTAGCCAGGCGGCCAGTGGAGAGAGAGCCGCAATTACCATAAAGCTCCTCTCCCTCCGCTTCGCCAAGCTGTCAAAGCCCGGCAGCAGCAGGCGCAGCCAGACCCCCGCCAGCCAGCCCGCCCGCCCGGCTTCCTCTCCTTTTTTTGCCCGCGGCAGAAGGCTTTGCTCTCCCGCTTCTGCGACCTCCTCGCCAAGCCGAGCGAGCGCGGGCTCCCTAACCCGTGGATTTTAGTAGGGGCAGAGAGCTGCTAGTGCGAGCGCGCCCCCCGCCCATGTTGCGCCCGGTGCGGCCGGCACCCCTGGCACCCCCCACGCTACGCCACTGGCGGCAACTGAGGCGGCGGCGGCTGTTGTGGTGGTGGCGGCGATAGCGGGCGGAGGAGGGGGCGGCGGCGGGGCTTGAGGAGCCGTCGCCGGGAGTTGCTGCTGCTGTTGTTGCTGCTGCTGCCCGGACATGCCGGCCTCCTCCTCCGCTGTCTCGCGCTCCTCCCTTTTGCACGCGCTGCCCCGCCGCTCGGCACCACCACCGCGGAGCCGCCCCCGGCTCGACGCGGATCCTCGCCGCCGCCGCCTCTCACCGCCCGACTCGCCCGCCTCCCTCCCACGGCACACCAGCCAATGTCTGACGGCACAGTAGTGTGCCGCGGAACACCGGTTGGGAAACACTGACCTAACAAGATTTATATACTGTTTGATTGTAATAAAACCACCAGGTAGTTTACAAAAAGAATAAAACTTTTAAGGCATCAATAAAGGACCACTAAAAACATTCAAAAGATAATTCAAATCACTGGAAAGCTAAAGCAAGATCAACGCATGTGAACTGTCTCCACGTCTGGGTAGTCAGACGCAGTTCCTAGGTAGGGGCAGACCCACTGTGCCCCAAATCCCCATTGTGCAGGGCTGCTCCCAGAGGTCACCATGGTTAGTGACGCCGAAAGCCTCAGTCCTGTGCCTTTTTTCATCCCAAACCAGGTATGGTGTTGGCATGCTCAGCTACGTGGAGATTTAACATTTATAATGAATAGTATAATAATAAACAGTAAACTATGACTTTAGAAGTCCCAGAGCCACATCCATTTTAGGTATCTCACAGCCTATGATCAGCAACTTTTGGTCTACTTACAATTTATTTCCTAACTTTCTTACCTTTCCATGTCTAGAACATTCCTAAAAGCCTTCCCCTTGATGGGAGAGACACAGGAACGGGAACGGGTCCTCATCCATTTCTCACACCGATATTGCCAATGCAACCCAGAAGAGAGCACATCTGAAGGTAACACCACCTTATGTTCAGAACTAGGCCTTTTTGCCCCACATAGCACCTTGCCATAACTAGCTTTTTGAGAGGCTTGCCAGTGAAATCTCCCTTAAAAGTTAACAGAAAACATGCAGAGTTTGGCAGAATGAGCAGAAGGGCTTCCAAAAACAGAATAACTGGCTTCCCGCATTTTGAAATAACGCAGTGCATTAAATGCACATTACTATCTGAAGAGTCGCCCCTCCATCAATAAGAGCCTAAAATTATCTAACTGCACCACAGGAGAATATTAATACTGGACTGGCCTATTTAGGATCTTTGTACATATTCCTGAGAGCAGCACTTGAAATGAGCTTTATAATGGTAAGTTTTGCTTTTTAAGCAAACTGAAAGGAAAGACTAGACGGTTTCCTGGAATAATTCCACCTGCTTAATAACCGCATTTAGTTCAAATAGCTAAATAGTTATTAGGATGAAAAGTAAGTGGGAGTGAGGCTGTTGCGGAAGTAGAACAATATCTTAATTTGGAGCCAAATAAAGCTGGCATTCTCAAATTTTGTTCTTGGCTTTTTGAATGTTCCCCTGCCTTGTGAGGGCAAGGACCACAATATGCTGAATATATCTAGTTGTTAGTGCAATTTAGAAAGAGGCTAAATTACCATACTTGCATCTTCCAGATGGAATCCACACACTCACTTGTGCCCTGATGCTGCTCAACACAGATCTGCACGGCCATGTAAGTATTTTCAGAAGAAGACATACCTTGTGCTCTTGCTCTCCAGCTAGATTTGTTGCTATCTGGAAAATGCCTTTGAAAACCGATGTCATGGCAGTAGTAGACAATGGCAGGGAAGGGCATTCAATTCCGTGGTCTATATGCAGCAAAATTGCTGCCTCCAGCAACATACCCCTCAACTGTCCCACATCCCAGAATTACAGAAGCCACCCCTGCTTCTGACTGGATCTTGGGATGTCCCATTTTGGCTCCCACAAGAGCGCGGACCCAAAAGACAATCATCCCGATTTTCCTCTGCGATATGTTGGAGAGTATGTAGCAATGGAAGCCTCTTCCTTCAAGTCTCATCCATCTGGGATTGTGTAGGGCAAACTAAGATAAGCGTGTATAAGAGTTTATTTTCAGAAGAAGTATTTATGTTTGTGATTTGCGTAATTAGATAAATGTGCACCCCGCTGCTTTGTTCTGATTGCTGCATTGCTGATTGCTTAGAAAATAACACTGCAACTTACATTGATTCGGACAGTAGGCCTCATCCTTTTAGGTTGAAGTCCTGTAGCTCCATGGTAGACCACAAGCTTCGTTTGTCCAAGGTACAATCCCTAACAACTACTGAGAAAGACACTTGTCTGCAGCTGTGGAAAGGAGCTGCCAGTCTGCATAGTGAGTTAGGTACGCCAGTTAAGCATATTTAAAGTTAAAAAGATAAAGGTAAAGGACCCCTGACAGTTAAGTCCAGTCGCAGACGACTCTGGGGTTGCAGTGCTCATCTCGCTTTACAGGCTGAGGTAGCCGGTGTTTGTCCGCAGACAGTTTTTCTGGGTCATGTGCGCAACGCTTCTGGTGCAACGGAAACCCAGAACCAGAGCAGCGCACGGAAATGCTGTTTACCTTACCTTACCTACTTGCACTGGCGTGCTTTTGAACTGCTAGGTTGGCAGGAGCTGGGACCAAGCAACGGGAGCTCACCCCGTCGTGGGGATTCGAACCGCCAACCTTCTGATGGGCAAGCCCAAGAGGCTCTGTGGTTTAGAGCACAGTGTCACCCACGTCCCCTTATTTAAAGTTAAGCACATTTAAAGGGAACATTTACACTGTTGTTTGACAAGACAAACAGGCTCCGGTTAACCCAAACCCAGTTGCATGCTTGTCTCTGTTTTCTGTCTCTAAGGCCCACTTTTTACAAGCAGCAGAGGCCTTCTGACACATCTTTCCATGAATACACTCACTGCATGGAGGAGAGTGAGGGGGGATTTTGCCAAAGGAATGCATGAAAAGGACCTGGATGGCACAGGGAACTGATTTTCCCCCTGTTCCACTTCAGAAGTGAGCAAGGGGCTCAAGTAACAACATGCTTCCCCGCACAACAATTTACCTGCAAATAGAAATCTCATGGAGAGCTGCTTCTTGGAACTTTCTTCTCTCTGGCATGCCTGTTTCCTGTGTGCAGATTTTACTTTCTGTCTGTGGAGGAACATTCAGTCATGTAAATCTGCAACTCCAGTCAGAACTAAAATGGTTCAGTAGCCAAAGAGGTTTACCTGCTGCTTGTGAGAACCAGGCCTAAGTTATCACTGAGAAAGGAGGAGGAGAATTGGGCAGGAAATCAAATTTCAAAGTCCCAAATTCTTCTGCAGGTGAAATGGTGTGGTAAATACAGCAAGTTCAGTGAGGATAAGTATTTGGAAGGCAGCATCTCAGAGCTGTAAACCCTCAATGGCTACGGTGACATTAATTTCTTCTTTCCTCTCTCCTCCTTTCTCTTTCTCTTCTGCTCCGGGATCCTCTTATTATTGCTCTTTAACCCTTTCTCAGGTGGTAAGTGCAGTCGTTACAATTTGCACTACATTTCTGCACATTTTGGGTACTTGGAATTGTAAAATATATGTGTTAATAAGGAAAGCAACACCTACCAACGTGGCCCATAAACCTAAGTCTGTCTTTTCTTTCCCCCCTTCCAGCCGGGTGGGCGCAATGGGAGCAGCATGCACCATCATGCCCTCTCTTTCACAGTTTCATAGTTTGGCTTACTGTGATGTGCAAACTGGGTCTGCAGGTCTCATGATTGTTCCCATGCCACTCTCAGCAACATCCACGTCTTTGAATCCATTGATTAGGAAGTATTGCATTTTAATAGGCTAATTTTTCATAACGATGCCCCTGCCCTAGCAAGAGGTGCGATATTAGTATTGTAGATAAATCGCACAACCTTGCTCAACCAAAAAGCTATGGGACCAGGGACCGTGCAGGAGCAGCCATTGTGTCAGATGTGGCAAGGAGAGGAGAATCTGGCTTTGACAATCATTCATAATTCAGAACTGATAGGTTGAACCTGTGCAAGTCACCCTTGGACTCAGTTTTTATTTGTTTGTTTGTTTGTTTGTTTGTTTGTTTGTTTGTTTTTATTCTGTTTTTCTTATCAGGTGCCCCACAATGCAACTCCAATGTCACACATTAACGCACACATTTCAAACAGGTTTCCTGGAAAGAAAAAGCCAGTGAGATGACAATGGGGAAACAATTCCCCAGTTTCTCCCCCCCCCCCTGCAAAAAAAAAAGCCCTGCAGCAAGACTGGAGACCATAGCCCAGCCTGGGTGTTCACAGCAGAGTGCCTTATTCATTTCATTTCACATTCATAGGCAAACACTGATTACCTGGTTCAGTCAAAGCCTGGCAGTTTATGCAAGGAAAACATTCCATTTTCTTTCTTTGGCACTGCTCTACTTTGGGCTACAAAGAAAGAGTACATTTGACATATGTTTACTTCATTTATCTCCATATGTGTGTGTGTGTGTGTGTGTGTATATATATATATATATGCTTTCGTAGATTTTCACGGGTACAGGAATGCAGGTTTTGGTGTCCTCGGGTGTCTTCCCGTGTAAAAGTTGGGGTGTCTAGGCGACGTTTCGACGAGGTCTCATATATATATATATTGACCAAACTGTGGGAGGTAGTGGAGGACAGATGTGCCTGGCGTGCTCTGGTCCATGGGGTCACGAAGAGTCGGACATGACTAAACGACTAAACAACAACATATTGCCTGTAGCATTAAAAACTTATGGGGGAAATAAAGTATCTGTTCTTCTGCATTGCAGAATATTGGGAAAAAGATGTCCTGCCAACAGTTTACAGCAAATCTGGACAGGCTGAATGATGGGAAGGATTTTGCAAAAGATCTGTTGAAGGTAATCCTATATCTAGTAAAGGAAAGTAGGGGAGAAATGGGGTGTAGTGTTATTGCAGGAAATTCCAAGTGTCTGTGGCTGAAGTTCCATTATGTTGCTGAACATGCATGCAATAAGAATGAATTGGGACGGGGGGACGGGACCCTAGCCTCTGCTCCACTATCTATGCTGTGATTATTTCACATTCATTCTTAGAGATGCTCTTCTATATGTCATGATCAGAAAATAAATACATGTGGTTCCACCTCCTTGAGGCTGCCCCACTTCAGATTGCAGCTGGGGGATGGCACAATTGAATGCCAAAACTCTCTGCCTTTGGAAAGCTAACATGAAAGGGGGAAAGATTAAAGCCCAGGCTTCTGCGTCTGATGCACTAAGCGTCTTCAAAGATGAAGCGTTGCTTATATGAGAGAATTTGAACAGGCAGTTCCCTGGCCCTTCCAGATATTGCTGCACTCCAAATCCCATCATCCCTGACCACTAGCCATGCTGGCTGAGGCAGACAAGGCGGAAGGTAGCCCCAAAGCGGATGTAGCCCTACGGCTGTGAAAGGTTCCCTCGTTCTGTGATGGGTCCTGTTTGCAGGAGTCTGGCTGGCCAGTGTGGGAAGAGGACTCTGGACTAGCTGGGCCTTGGTCTAATCCAGCAGTGCTCTCCTTATGCTATTACTTACAAGTTTTGCAAATGCCTCCAGGTGTGACCAAGCCAAGAAGAAACAACAACTATTCCTTTATTGTTCAAATAATTTGATTAAAAATGAAGATGGACAAGCTCATTTCCTATGATCAGTCAGGGATAGAATATAGCTATGACGACATTTCACCATTATAGGCAGATTTAATAATGGTTGATATGGGCACCGCCCACAGATGGGAATCATTTTATGAGAACCAACTAAGAGCTGACTTTGTGTTCTTATTGCAGGCACTGTATAACTCAATAAAAAATGAAAAGCTAGAATGGGCTATGTAAGTATGTTTTGAAGTGTTTTATAATATTCCTTTGTAAAAAGGATTGATGTATCTTAGAATTTGTCCAAGACAGAAAACAGTTTCAGTAATCGACATCTTGAATGGTACCAGGTAGACAGTAGAAGAGGTTGTCAGAGGCACTGCCACCTACTGGGAAAGTATACTAGAGCAAAGACCTCATCTTTGGAGCAGCTTCCTTTGCTCTCTGCTGAATGGGAAGGACAGGGGGGTTCAAAGAAGCAGGCAACTTTGGCAGGGGAGCTGAATCAGTGGGTTGAATCCAGTTTGCCTACAGAAGGACACCCTTGACTAAGGTTACCAGATTTTTTCAAAGAATCCAGGGACAATTTTTTTAAAAAGAGAAAAAAAAGTTATTTTAAAAAAGTTATTTTTTAAAAAAATTTAAGAAGTAATATATTCTCTTCTGTGGTCTCCTCTGTCGCGCTGCCTTAATCTGGGCACCGGCCTGCTCTCTTGGAGCGCTAGCTGCCATGAAGTAGGCTCGGATTGGGCCTGGGCTTGGCCACGTGCCCTTGCCCTCCTGGTACTCTCCTACCTCTCCTCTTCAGTGGCGTTTTCCAGGCCCCGGAGCACCGCCGGGCAGTTGGCTGGGTGGCCAGGCATTCTTGTACCCGACTCAATTTGGGTCATGGGAGGGGGGTATCAGCGGTTCCCCCAGTTGGCACACTGGGTGTCCCTGGTTCCCCCTCGGCAGTGGTGGCAGCAGCGGCAGCCTCAGCAGCCCGGAGCCAGCCTGGTAGCGCAGTTGTCTCTGGCTGGCATCAGGAGCTGCTTGCTGCCATGGAGCCTGCCATTTTGCCTCGCCAGAAGTCCCCATATGATGTGTCTTGTGCCATTGAACCAATCACGCAACATTCATTCCCTACTAATAAATCTACAACTCTTAAAATATAGATCCGGGGACATTAAATGAAATCCGGGAACATTCCAGGGATGGATTTTGTCCGGGGACAGATTTGTAAATCCGGAGACTGTCCCATTGACCATTTGTGACACGAGGAGCTTCAGGGCAAAGAGGAAGTTGGCCTTTCCATTTGCAGAACTGACACCCTGGATCCAGCCCCTTGTATTTTGGGCCACAGAAATCCACCCCACATGTCGGCTGTTAGCACAATGCAGATGCAAGGAGCTGTACTTTTTAAAAATTCACTCACATAGAATATCATTTTAACCTGCTCTGATCTGCTATTATATTTAGTTGCTTATTGCTTCATTTGTTGACATTTTTAATGATTTCGTGTCCCACTGGTCTTTCTGCAATGGGTTGCTGCTTGCTCTACACCAGCTGTTTTGGGTTCTGCATCCTCTTTACATCTCCCCACTAAAATCAGTTCACACTGTATTGTGCAGAAATTAAAGGGAGCATCTGAAGAAGCAGCTCATCTTATTTCTGAAACATTGCCGTGCAAGCCTGCCTATCACTTGCACAAGGGTAGCCAATGCGACGCCCTTCAGAGGTTGTGGACTTCAACTCCCATGATCCCTGACCATTGACCATGCTGACTGGGGCTGATGGAGATTGGAGTCCAAAATATCTGAAGGGCACCATGTTAGCACCGTTGCAATAGCAGAACTGAGTTGTTGTTTTTCGGGGGGGGGGGGTTTGACATTATCTCCAAGGACCACCCAAAGTCTCCTGCAGAGAGTCTACACTATGGGTACCACTTTACATCACATGTAACTCTGTATAGTGGTACCTCGGGTTACATATGCTTCAGGTTACATACGCTTCAGGTTACAGACTCCGCAAACCCAGAAATATTACCTCGGGTTAAGAACTTTGCTTCAGGGTGAGAACAGAAATCGTGCAGCGGCGGCGCAGTGGCAGCGGGAGGCCCCAGTAGCTAAAGTGGTGCTTCAGGTTAAGAACAGTTTCAGGTTAAGAACGGACCTCCAGAACGAATTAAGTTCTTAACCCGAGGTACCACTGTACAGAATGAAGCGTCACAGGCCTACAAGCACGTAAGATGGTGGCTTCCATCGTGTGAGCATTCTAGGGAACAACGTGAATCTCCCTCAGGTTGTCCTTCTGCTATGGCAGCTGCTCTTGATGCAGTGCTGCAAAGGCAAGCAGTGTGGTTTTTTTCCTGTATGCAAACTGCTGATTCCTCCAGGACAGCATCCTTTATAAGCACTCTTCTGGAGGTCATTGCTGAGGACAAAAGTCAAATGGAGTATTTGGGAAACGTTTGCACAAAACTTGTTTTGAGTGATTTGAATACAATTTACTTAATCATTCTCCCTCAACCAAAATGAGTAGTTCAAAACAAAAATAAAATTCCTGACTATTCAGTTCACATTCTCTGTTTCATTAGATTTACATGCAAGGGTGAATTAATAGAGTCAGGCATGTAGAATGTATTTTTAAAACCTTAAAAGCCCATTTAAGAGCTGGATTTCCCCCTCCTCTCCAGCAATGCAATACATGGGATTGCGCCTTCCCTGCCTCAGAATCATTTCTATGCTGTGAGATGATTTGCTTCACAGGCTGGCTATAGCTGCCCCCCCCCCCCACATGGCACTATCACCACTTGAACCCCATTCTGTAGATGTACTGCAAAAATCAGGCAAATGTTGGGGAGAGAAGTCTTGCTGCAGGAATTTCAGCTTTGCATGCTGGGAACAAAAAGCAGGAGATGGGGGTTATTGTTTATGTTTGAGATGGGGTGGGGGGCAGAGAAAGGGGAGCAAATAATGAACAACATGTTGAAGAAATTCAGGTTGTTGGAACAATCTTGCTTGGTCACTATCCCACCCCCCCACCCCCACCCCTGCCACCTCATTTTAAAGGACTACTTGAGTACAGTTGTGGAGAAGGATACTGTAAAGTGTTTTTTATTTCCTTCTGAAAGTGCCAAAAATCGTGAAGGTATGGCACTCACATTGTTTTGGAGGGGGAAGCACCGCATATCATATTTAGTTAGATTACAGTCATTATCTAATCGGCTGGTTGTAACAGCCACTCAAACAGCAGCAGGGACATTTGCCATAGGAAGAAAATGGGTCAATCAGCAATCTGACTAGAAAAAAAGTCATCTATATATAGCCTTAGTATTACATCACAGGGATTTGTGTTCGGCTTTTACATAATGATCTTTTAAGGCAAAATCAAGTTCTAGTCGTTTTAATAGCACCGAAAGCAGGCCTGCACAATTTAGGACTAGGGTTGCCAACTCTTAAAATGAAACTATAGTGACAGATTTGTGGGGCCAGCAGTTGAGGGAATTTAGCACAACAACCTGAATTCACCAACTGTAAAAAAAGAAACAGCAGCTGGCAGGGTGCATGGTTTTGCTCCTCGGTTTTTATGAGGCTGTCCCAAATTTCCGAACAAACTGGGCCACACCCCAACCAATGGCCAGCATCCTTATTTCTGACCCATTAAATGAACAGCCATCCACCAGCCAGGTCTGGCAGCCCACCAGGAGTTTAATAAACACATTATTGCTTGTGACTGTAAAATGGGGTATATGATCATTCTCCTTGCCAGCCTAATAGATGGCTCGGTAGGTCACAACAATTTGTACAGGTTGCGTCTAAAAAAAGCTTAAATTTGCTTGTTGCCTGGTTTTCTGAGGAAATACATGCCCAGCTGATGACATTTTTCAGGAAGGTTTTGCAGGTTTTTGTAGTTTCAAGTATTCAGAGCACTTGAGAAAGGTGTTGTGTTTTTTTGGTGGGATCATCAAAATATAGTCTTTTGCTAAAGTCAGTTTTACTTCAGAGAGAGAGAGAGAGAGAGAGAGAGAGAGAGAGAGAGAGAGAGAGAGAGAGGCAGTATACATCTCACTGAAACATTAATTTAAAAGATCCACTGGAGGGAGCTAGCTGTCTATCTCCATTTGGCTGTGTGTAAAACACTAGCATTTGGGGGAAGTGTTATATAAGTGAGTTCAAAGAAAGTGCATCTGAGCATCTGGTTGAATAAATAAATGCATGCAGGAAGGAAGGAAGGAAGAGGAGAAACACCATTCAAACATACCCAAGGCAGGTGACGAACTCATTAGCCTTGAAAGACAGGTATATGATTTCCAGAACTGACACCCTTTGGTGTAAACTGATGATAAAATAGGACACTATCTAGGACATTTCAACATCTAAGCAGAGAGATTTCCCAGCAGATGGTAGCGCTACCTTCATGCTCTGGTTATCTCTCTGCTGTCAGATATGCTTTTCTGCCAGATAGTACACAATATGTGCATTAGCCATAAGATATACTTCTGTTGCAGCGCTTTCTCTTGAGGAGGCTGCTGCTGTTCATCTCAGCAGCTAAGGAGCACAGACATGGAAGAGGCCAGCAAACCCTCCTCCACACAACCTTACTGTTCCTGAATCTTTGTAGGACTATAGTGTGAATGCACTCCCCACTCCTCCAAGTGATAAAAAGTTGCAGAGAGGAATTGAGTCAGACTGAGCACTACATTTTTTAAATAGGGATGTGCAAGCCCCCTCCAACTTACCTTGAAAATTAAGTGGGATTTTTCAAAATCTTTCCTGTTTGCTTTATAATCCTTGTTAGATTTCTGTTTCGTTTTAGTTTTGGATAGAAACACTCAAAATTACTCTCCGGTTCCCACCAGTCCCTCTGTCCCAAGGGCAAAAAAACCCCTCCCTCTCAGGGTAGGGGTGGGGGAGGGGAGGATTAAAGAATGATGATGATGATAATGTTTTACAAAGCATTTCTTTATCTGACAAGACACCTGAAATGAGCTTTGATTGTTTTGCTCATCCTTTTAATTGAAACCCAAGTGAAACCCATGTTTGTCTAAAGAGAACCTGCACCTGTAGATCAAAGACACAGTCTTATTTAGTAATCTTTTGATGGCTAATTATTATTATTATTATTATTATTATTATTATTATTATTATTAATATTACTACTACTACTACAGTTTGGTCTCCCTAGTGATTCCTAGTCACATCGGCTCAACAAGAAAGGTGAAATTCAATAGAAACCACAGTTTCACTGAGAGATAGCTACTTTGAATACAACCCCCTGGTCATGTCCACACTGACATAGTGAGGGCTTACCAAGGGCTGCTTTCTGAGGTTGTGCCCAGAAAAGCAAAGCCATTGTTGGGGAGCAAAACCCCACCACCATAGGGCAGACTCTTGCCTCAAGGGACTCATGGAGATGGTTGGCTTTTGCCCCCTAGCAGTACTTTCTCTGGAGGATGCGGGTGGCGCTGTGGGTTAAACCACAGAGCCTAGGGCTTGCCAATCAGAAGGTCAGTGGTTCGAATCCCCGCAACGGGGTGATCTCCCATTGCTCGGTCCCTGCTCCTGCCAACCTAGCAGTTCGAAATCACGTCAATGTGCAAGTAGATAAATAGGTACCGCTCTGGTGGGAAGGTAAACGGCGTTTCCGTGTGCTGCTCTGGTTCGCCAGAAACGGCTTAGTCATGCTGGCCACATGACCCGGAAGCTGTACGCCGGCTCCTTCGGCCTATAGAGCAAGATGAGCATCGCAACCCCAGAGTCAGTCACGACTGGACTTAATGGTCAGGGGTCCCTTTACCTTTACTAATACTTTTTCTGGGTGTAGTTTTGGATTGCAGCTGATGTGCAAACAGATGGAGAACATTTGTCCTGTCTCCTAAGAGTCAGGAGTCATTTCCCAAGTTGTTGTTGTTGTTAATTTCCTGCCCATCTTAGGGTGCCCCAGACACTCTGGGCAGCTTCCAACAAATTACAACAACAACTTATTTATACCCCGCCCACCTGGCTGGGTTTCCACAGCCACTCTCGGCGGCTCCCAACAGAATATTAAAAATACCGTATTGGCCCGAATATAAGACGAACCCACAAATAAGCCACACTTTTAAAATTCAAGGCTTATTTGCGGGTGCGGCTCCCTCCTGACACTGCCACCCTGAACAGGGTGCGGGGGGTGGGGTGGCCGGTGCTCGGTTCTGAGCACACTGCGTGCCCGCTTCCCAACACTACTGCCTCCCAGCACTCCTGGCACTACCACCCCAAGCTGGCACCTTGGGATGACTGGGAGCGGCAGGCAGGCTGTGTGCCATTGCCCTGCACTCCTGGGCTGCTTTCCTGACGACCTTCGCCCCTTCCCCCTTCCTTACAGTGGCTTGGGGGAGGGTTGGAGATGCGGTTGGGACGGGCGCCGTTGTCCCGCACCCCCAACGGCCCTCGTGGGCAGCTGTTTCAGGAGCAATACCGTAAGGTTGCACATATAAGCCGCACTTTAACTTTTCACAATTGGAATTTGGGGTGAAAGTGTGGCTTATATCCAGGCCAATATTGTACGATAAAACATCAAACATTAAAAACTTCTCTAAACAGGGAACAACAGTAACACACCATGCTTCCCTCTCCACGGCTACCTTCAGATGCCTTCTAAATGTCAGAAAGTTGTTATTATTCCTTGACTTCTAATAGGAGGATGTTCCACAGGGTCCTCTGCCTGGTCCCCTATAACCTCACTTCTCACAATGCGGGAACCGCCAGAAGGCCATCGGAACTGGACCTCAGTGTCCGGGCTGAATGATAGGGGTAGAGACACTCCTTTAGACATAAGTGATGACTTCAGAGCAACAGCCATTAATGTCAATAGAGACTTCTTCCCCACTTCCAAACACACACTGCTTCCTGCCCACCCACCCACCCACCCACCCATTTTCAAAGGGAACCCCCTCCCCCCACATCTCCGTCTTAGTTTGCTTAACTTCTCTATTTCGCTTTATTTCCAAGTGATGAAGATGAGCTCAGAAAGTCTTTGTCAGAACTGGTGGATGATAAATTTGGTGCCAGCACAAAGAAAATGGCAAGGATAGTTGATGGCAGCAATCCATTCCTGGATGTCCCCCAGGCCCAGAACGCTGTAACATACAAGCATGGCATCCTCACTCGGAAAACCCATGCGGACATGGATGGGAAGAGAAGTACGTATTGAAGGGGGTCCAGCGACAAGGGCAAGAGATGCGCAGTAGAGTGGCAGAGACGCTTGTTGAAATGGTTGTGCTCAAGGAGAGAGTCTGGCTTTTCGCTGATGCACGCATGGGCTACAACAAGGAAGCATGGGATGCATCACCCTTCATATTTTCCCAGGGTTGTTTTAGCTACTGGTGATAGCATGGGAGTCCCTTCTCCATGGCTTCTCCTTACACCACACTGGTAACTTTGGGATTTGTTTGTATGGTTCCTTGCAATGTAAATGCCTCTCTCTCTGGATGAGACAATGCTTAGGTGGAAGCAATTGCTGGAATTCCTCAAAACCATTCCCACCAGTGTTCCTGGAGTAGCATGAGAAGAAGCCATTGGAAAGTGACTCTCACACCATTGCTGGGTGTGAAATAAACAGGTCCTTATGCGCATAAACAGGCCACAAATGAACTAATGGGAAGAGCTTTGCCAAGGCTGATGATGGCAGTTTTCCTTAAAATGCCTCATGTTTCTGCAGCGATTTGTGTGTGTGTGTGTGTTTTTAAAAATCATGATATTTCTTCAGCATTTTAGCATGGATTTTTAGTTTAATCAATGTATTTTTATGCAGTTTGACATTTTTGCAAGCAATTTCTCCTAATATAATGCATTTTTATGTTATTTACACGATGTTTGCTTTTATACATACTTTTGCCTAATTTTCATTTTCCTCAACACTGGTGGTTGGGAGACCTGCACCACAAAAGTCAGCTAAGTGTGTTTTGGCTCTCGCGTTGTTTCAGAAAGTGCAAATATATTAAATTCCGTTTTAAATGTGAACTTGATTAAGTTTCTCTCCCATTTCTATTGATAATCACTTCACTGTATTGCCCCCCTCACCCCATCATAATTGCGGTCTTTTGTGGATTAGTTCAAAAATTGTATTTCTGTGGATCTGCTGTGATGTCTCGTATTAATGCTGTAATCAACAGAATTATATGTTTTTCAGCTCCCAGAGGAAGAAGAGGGTGGAAGAAGTTTTATGCTGTTCTTAAAGGAACCATCTTGTATTTGCAAAAGGTATGTTTAACACTCTGAGAGTTCTGTAAGATCCCACCAAGTTAACTCTCCACAGTGCGAGGATTTTCACTTAAAACAAACACCATAAATAATGAATTCAGCATATATTGGAATAGACTGAGGGCCCCGTCTAGTCCAGGATCCTGTTTCGCAAGATTATAAGCCAGATACTTGTGACAATAAAGGGTGGGTAATCACAGGTGGGCTGTGGTAAAAAACAAAGTGGTCACAGCTTGCTGTGAAGGGTTCCCCCACCTCAGTTCTGCTCATATTCCTGAGCTCTCTGATGCCTTCTGTTCCATTCCAAGAGAAAAAGTCTCCTTGGTGAAGGCGGAGACAGGCCAGGTCGTGGGGAAGCCTCTGAGAAGATGGAGTAGCTTGCCAGGTCTGTCTTCCTTTCCAGAAGAAAGTTAAGTGAGTGACGCTACCAGGCAGCAGCACTGGCAATATCTCTTGCCGTTGGGGATCCTGGGGAATTTGCATGGAGAGCGTCGCTCACTTCTCAAATGGAGGGGGCGGGCAGTAGGCCATTCCATCTTTGATGGGGCCCTATGGCACTTGCTACCTTGACCCTATTTTCTAAGGTAAGCCTTTTTCCCTTTGTGGGGGGATGAGATAGCAGATGTCATAGGAAAATGGACCCTTCAAAAAGTGGTGTGGTTTTTTTGTTGAAGTTTTTGTGCACTTAAAATGAAGAATTAAAGGACGCAGCTGATTTTCAGGGAGGGCACCAGGCTGATCACTCATCTTCAGCAGAGCAGCCATTATTTCTCTTCTTCTTTGCTCTCTACCACTTCCTTCCAGCAACCCGGCGGTTGCTGCTGTTTGCAAGCCTTCTCAGCCCCCTGTAGCCCCCTGCCTGAGTGCTGCGAGGTATATTTTCTGAAAGTTAGGCTGGAACCTTGCAAAACTGGTGCTTCAGCGCTGAAGAGGGAAAGCGCACATCCTTCAGAGAACTGAAAGTAATGTAAAGCAAAGCTCAGCCCGATGGGGAGAGGCTGTTGTCATTCATGTGTGTCGTGCCTGGTTTAAAAGATTAGACATATGCTTTCAGCCTTAAGTGTCACAATATTTAATTTAAACTCCCGTCACAGCAGAGGAGAGATGACTTTTAGAAGAGATTAAAATAATCATTAGCAAAAAAGTTTTAATTGATGCAGGCATTTTGGGAAAACGACACTACTGTTGATGCCTTCGGCACCATACAGTAGGTCCCCGTGAGACTTACACAATTATATTCCTCAGTTAGCAAATGCTGGCAAAATGCAACATTCCTGCAACAAAGTACTTCCTGAAGGAAAAATATCTGCCCTCCACACAACACGTCTAATTCCCATGAGTCATGTGATTTGGATGATGAGTCGGACATGATCTGCATGGTACACACAAAGAGGATGACTGCTGCCATAGGTGTATGAGGCAGCCTCTCCCCCCCCCCCCGTACAGTGCAAGTCAGCACATCATTTCCCCATCTCACAATGACTCAGAGGCTCTTGGGATCAGAGTTTTCAAAGTGCACACATGCAATTCACACTTCTTAGATGCTTCAAGCAGCTTTTATCTCTTTAAAGGATATTGGGGAGCAGGGGATAAAAGCACCACAGTTGTTGCTAACACACACACACACACATACACACACACACTATTGCAGAAATGGGACAGAACAAATTTCATCGGAGGCATTAAGAGGGAGACTATCCCCTGCTATCCCCCATTATCTCCAATTTGAGGGGGGGCTTTGGAGAGCTCAGGGGAGCGACTCTACAAGTTCACAGCTGGAAATGGAAACCCCAATATATAAAATTAAAGTCTGTACAATTTCATAACAGCACATTTATGAGCAACCTGAAAACAAAGATAGCTGGAAAAAACCAACTGAACACTTTTCACATATGTGTTAAATATGTTTTACAAATACTACTGCAGATAAAAAGTAGATCCACTCTTTTAGAGGTTCGCATAAACATTAATCACTCATGGTAGATGGGATTTCTTTTAAAAACAGCCCAAATTGATATTACATTTATAGTTAATAAGAATTCTCTGCAGAAGCCAGCATACCTATTATATTTTAAGCTACATTATTAGCTATTGTAAATAATTATTATTAGAACATCGCAAAAACCATAACTCATATTTGATATTAACCCATCTTTCATTATATTTAATAATTTTTTTGCAATCTAATCAAGCTATTGTCTTGTCTTTCTTCTCCTTCCCAAAATCCAGGAAATGTGTCAACTTAGCCATTGCTGCAAAGTCGAACAGTTTACCAACCTATTCTTTAAGGTGGTGCTGATTATCTCTACGTTTTTGCAAGCATATAAAGGACTAAAATATAAGAGTCTAGTACTTTATTATTCTGCCCTACAGAATTTCATAGAATAGCTTAGAATCCTTATCAAATGATTTAAAAAATCCTCCATGATTTCTTTGACACCATTACACATTTCCACCATGTGGAAAACATCACTCATGATTGGGAAATGCTTTCAAATGTTTCTGCTTTAATTTTGCCTGGAGTCACGCTTTTCTCCCCATTTCTCAGAGATTACTGTGGAAGGGATCCTCTGGTTGGCCTTCAGAGAGGTCAGGTGTCAGTTTTCTCTAGCAATGCTTAACAACCATCTATTAATATGGCAGTGTGTATTTCTACAAGTAATTCCATACTCTGTGTGTGTACTACACTTTCTTTCCAGAAGCCTGCAGTGGGAGTTCCTCTTAATGACATAATGACAATTATTCATCTGATGGTTGGTTGGCTTTAATTGTTTTCTATTTAGCATAATTTCCTTGATCTATGTACTGAGTATTACAGATATATTTCTGTCATTCAATGCACAGATAAGACACCTCAAACTTTAGGCATGACCACAAAGACTTCAAGGACTTCTCTGAACTGACAACCTGTTTGATGAAATGTAAGTTATCAGCACATTGTACCTGAGAATCACCATATAAGTGGGCTGTTTGTGTAGATGAATTTTGTAAGTGTATATGTATTTCAGAAAATGTATGGATGCCAGCTGGCTGTGTCATGTTTGATCTTTCCTATTATTCTTTCTGCCTTAGGTGTAACCACCAATAATAGGAGGACAAGAAATGTCTATGTGTCATCACCACCAGAAGCATCCCTTGCCATCCCTTGAGGCATACAGCATGCGCTGCCCACCTGCTGAAAGATGCCCAACACCACCCATATATCATTATGGATGTGTGGGCCCAGAAAAAGGCAGATTGAGAAGAACATTAGCATGATGAGGTCTATCTGCCAGGAGTTCACCAACTGCATCAAACAACCATACAAGTGTACAAGGCTATGTGGACTGGACTTCTGAATATTAGTGGATCTATGCACAATTGAGGACAGGAGCTGAGGGGTCTAAGGAAAACACCAGTTGACTTTTGTGGGGGAGAACCCATGTAAACAACTGCCACAACCACCACGAGGGAAATGGCTGGCGTTGACGAAGAGCCCATGCAGAGTGAGAGAGGGTCATGGATCAGTGCACCAGGGGTTGGTGCAGAACCTCCTGGACCGCCATGTGTCAGGGCCAGGTGAGAGTCCCCTGCAACACGACAGAGGAGGAGAAGAGCAAGTGTGTGCGTGGACACAGGCACTGACGTCAATGCCACTAGGGGGTGTCAAACAGGAGAGCTGCGTCACAAAAGCTACTTCCATTTGTATAGAGCACAATTGTTCACTGGCCTGTAACAATAAAGTTTATTGAAGGAAAAAGATTTGTCCTGTGTGGTGCACATTTCTGTTAAGTCATACTCCTAACTCTTGGCTAACAAAGGATTTGTGTATTGCTGGCACTGATGCAACTGTCTGCTCATGTGTCGGGCAAAACGTTGATCATCGCGTCTACTAAATCCGCAGTGCACAGCCACCCGTGTTTTCTCATTGATTTTATATAACAACATGGGTCCCGATCCCAGTGCACTTCACTTGCTTAAATACACCACACCCTTAAACACTACAACCTGTATCATGCTTCATGTTTCTAATAATATGATGCAACTCAAGATGCAACATAGCACAAACGTTATTCAATCTAGAACAATAATTCACAGAGCAGTGCTAACAAACTCATGCCCCTCATGATTCTTTGAATCAAAGCCACTGTTCCTTCTACCCTTTCCTGTGAGACTAATATTGCCAACTAGTGGGTGGCATTTGATTAATCTCTTCTGTCTTTTATTTTCTTCATTTGAGATGTGTTTGTGTGTGTGTTTAAGGAGAAACTGGATAAACACCTGCCTGGAACAGTTTTGGAAAGCTAGTGAGTCCCTTCCAGCATGATTCTATCTGAGTTGCTATTACTGTTATCTCTCTTCTCCTTCACAGGATGAATACAAACCTGACAAAGATCTTTCTGAAGTAGATCTAAAGAATGCCATCCGCATTCACCATGCCTTAGCCACAAAAGCCTCCGATTATAGCAAAAAATCCAATGTGCTGAAGCTGAAGACTGCAGACTGGAGAGTGTTCCTCTTCCAAGCACCGTAAGTGTTCCAACAGAACCCATGAGGGATTACTCTTGTCCTTTCACCTGGCCAAGTGGAGATTGCCCAGCCATTCTCCACATCATGGGGGACGTTACGAAAGTCCTCATCTCAAGGGGGCTTATTCATAAGTACCTTGTCTCATTGTGTTTCTTATTAAAGACAGAATTAGAAAACAGGACATCACTGCTTAGTTGGCATTATAGCTCCTTATTACCTGAAGGAACATGTCTCTGTTTTACTGCAGAAGCTAAGCAGGTATGGCCTTGTAAGCATCTGGGGAAACTGTGTAAGGTACTGAGTTCTTTGGAATAATAAGACATGGGTGTGATCTATCTCTTTCTCTCCCTTTCTCAAATATGTGCCTCCCACCCCACCCTCCAGTAGTGAAAGATCTGACCACCTCCAAGTAAGCCCCCCCCCCATGTACTATTGACTGTGGAAGGGCTCTCTTGGTTTTGCCTCTGTATTCTAAGACCCATGGCCAACTATTTTGCGTACAGCTATGGCAATTGCCTTCAGAAGACGCAAGCAATCTATATCCCTATTCTGAGGCCTCCCGAAGACGTGGCTACTTAACTGGCACTAGCAACTGTCCACCAAGCATTCCACTAGCCACGTAAACCAAGAGATGATTGATTCTGGATGGTTCTTGTCTGGTTTACATCTCTATGACATGGTTAGATGAAACGGGAAGGTTTAACCTAACCCCTTGGTGCAAAAACGGGTGACCGAGGGGAAAGCTTATGCCATTGTAAACATGTTCATCTTTAAGATACCACAAGACTTTTGTGTGGCACCTTATTTCATGCATTCCTTCTGGGGAGAAGGGGGGGGTCCCTATTTTGGAAACTGCACCTGGGCTTCCAACCCCCTTAATTTACCTTAAATTCACAAAGTGGATGCAGAGAAGACCCTCTTCCTGGTGGTCATGTAATGGATTCCCACAGGAAGCGGGATGACTAGAGAACCTCCTCTGCTACAATTAAAGTGGGCAGGCAGGTCTATATTGAATCAGGCATTCTTTCAGATAATCTGGTCCCAGATTGGTTGGATCTCAAGTCATTAGCAAAGGCTTCAATACACACCCAGCAGTTCAGAAAGGCTGCTTAGTGGGAAGAGAAATGTATTGAGTTTCCCTTCACTTTTATCATATTGGCATGTGTGTTCTCCGTCTCTCTCCCTCCCCACTTCTGACACATCCTGCCTCTCCTACTCTTGTGTGTAATGGTCCTCTTCCTTCAACCCTGCCTGGTCTCCACAGAAGCAAAGGAGAAATGCTGTCCTGGATTCTGAGAATAAACTTGGTGGCTGCCATTTTTTCTGCCCCTGCATTTCCAGCTGCTATTTGCTCCATGAAAAAATTCTGCCGTCCTCTCTTGCCATCTTCAACAACCAAGCTCTGTCAGGTAAAAGGAAAAAGCCTGTGTATGTACATATATGGCAGAAAGCCATCCAACTGAGTGCTGAATGTATGCATAAGTCTCCATCTTGGCCCATTTTTTCTTAATTTCTTCACGACATTAGCACAGTCATTGAGGATCACACACACTAATAGTGGTAGAATGAAGCAAGATTGCAATTGGGATAAAACAAACTGCCTGCCCTCTGTCCTCACCCTTCCTGACTTGCCTGCCACATTTGTCCATCTTGTTAAAGGGAAGAGGCATGTGGTGTCATTCTTGCTTCCTCTCCAAGTCCTCCAAGTCCACAAGAGGGAGACAGGATCTTCCCACAGCTACTCTTTCACCCTTAGAGTGATGCCCTTGTGGCAACTTTGACATTAGGGTCACCTTGCTAGTGGTGATAGACCACCCATTACATTCCACCATGTTTGTTTATGTTATTTCTTTATTTAAATATTCATTCTAAATCCATATCTAATATTTCCAAAAATATTTCTGCAGCATACAATCAACACAATTAAAAATACAACACAACACAAACTAAAATGAGCAGAAGAAAGAATCCAGTTTGAGAGACCACCCAGAAACCAGCTAAGCCCATGGGCTTTGTTGAAATAAAAGTTCTTGCCTCACAGAGCAGGCCAGGTAGAACCCCTGGGGCAGGGACTTCCAGAGTCCAGAAACCACTGCAGAGAGGTCAATCTGACATGTACTCACTAACTGAACCCTTGCTGGTAGCAGGATATAGGAAAGCCTGAGGACCTGGGTGGACGGGCAGCCTCCGCTACAATGATCCCAACCCATTCAGGGCTTCAAAGGTAACAACGGTCACTTTGAATTGTGCTGTAAACGGACATATGAAGTCAATGTAACGATGTGGTCACATGATCAACTCAGTAGCACAATAAAAAATTTCAGCTGGAGCAGTTTGCATCTGGTCATTCTTCAAAGGCAGTTCCATGTGAGAATCCAATTAAACTTTTTAACGAAGGCATGTGTGACTCTGGCCAGGTCTGTTCCAACTATATGTCTCCAGAAAAAGTGCAAAGTCTGAATTCTGGTAAATCCCTTTGTATTTGTATACATGATTATTTCTGAAGAACTTGACTCAGTCTCTCTTCCTCCTCGCCTTCCAGGAGGAGCAGCTGCAGTCTCATGAGAATAAAATGAGGCAAGTTGCAGATGAGTTAACGGAGCATAAACTACACCCAGTAGTGAAAGGCCTCAAGTCCAAAGAGGCTGAAGAATATCGCCTGAAAGAGCATTACTTAATATTTGAGGTGAGGCTTTCCTGTGGGACGAAGATAGAGTAAACCTGGAGAGAATGACTGGGGAAGTGTGGGTGGGCTCATAATCGCTTTCTGTTTAAAGACTTTTAGGGAGCAGTCCAACCAGACGGCAGGAGGGAGAACTGGAGGCAAATGAGTCACCAGTTCCAGTGTCCTACAGGGCTCATGACACCAGGGCTGAAGTAGAATTGCAGGGTCACATATACATTCCTAGGGACTTTCCATCATTCTATCCACTGGAAACAATGGGTGGGAAATGCACCCTGTCAGCTTGCACAGTCTCCCCGCTGGTTTGGGGGCGTGTTGGAGGACTAGATAGGTCCCTGCCACACCCTTGTCAGGCTATACAAATGTCTGAGCTCCAGCATCAGTGAAGCAATGGGAACAGAAGGTTTTGCAGTGGTGGTGGTGGGGAACCCACTTGGGCCCTAAACATGGTTTCCTAGTGCAGAAATGAAGCACACAAAGCAAACCTCTAAGCATATCTCTCTCTCTCTCTCTCTCTCTCTCTCTCTCTCTCTCTCTCTCTCTCTCGGCTTACAATATCTTCCCGGCAGTCAAAAGACTCAGTTCCCTGTGTAATTATCCTGATTAGACTTAATTGCACATCTCCCAAGTAGCTTTATACCTGTAAAACACTATAAATAAGGTTCTTTGTTGATATGAGTATAGGATCTTTAGGAAGGACCTCAAACTGTTGGGATAAACAAAGTTATTATCCACCTGAAGTGAGGCATTCAGGGCATAGCGCCTGCCCATGTGATTTCTGCACAATGCATGAGCTCAAGGTGTTATCCATTCTCAGTAGGTCTTCTGCTGAAGTTGTATTTTATTGGGCTTTCTGAACTTCTGCCATTCTTTGTTTTTGGCTTGCCCAAAAGAGGTACACCTTCTCTGTCCTCACAGAATTCATTAGCCAGGAGCCGAAGTGCATGTAATGATGCTTGAGGAATTAAGTATTTGTGCATTCCAAGACGAAGGGATCTGATTCACCCTTCCTGGACTAATCCTGGCATGGATCCAGACTTAGCTCCCCTTCAAAAGCTCAGTTCAAAAATGTACCAAAATGTATTTCAAAATGCATATTTTGATAGAAAATATGCACATAAGAGTAAGTCCACTTCTAAAGTACACTAATGGAAGCTCAAGCTGGAAGCCATTTCCCCCATCACTAGTCCTTCCATACCATCAAAGAAGCTAGCATGCTGCTCCTGCTGCTGCCTGTGTTGGATAACGCACTGCAATTGCTCCTGCGCATGATGGGACATGCTGTGTCCTTGCTCTCAGGGAGTTGCTGTGGCAGAAACCAGGGCTGGTAGGTGTAAAAAGGAAGAAGAAAGGGGAACAGGGAAGAGAGAGAACTCTTAAACCACCTCCTAATTACTTAACTTTTTTTTTTTAAAAAAAAGAATTAAATTTATGTGGATTTTTAAAGAAGTTTCCCAAAAATTATTCAGATAAACGTGGGATGGAGCAGATTTATATGTCAATTCATGTGATGTGATGAACCAGATTAGGGTCCTGTAGTCGCTCCCTTACCTACAGCTTACCCGTCCTTGAAGCAAACATATCCTCCTGGTCACAAACAGAAATCCCCAGCACTTGTCTCTCTATCTATTGTTCTGGTCATTCCTGACTTTCTCTCTCAGGCTTTTTGGTCTGTTTCATTGTCCTTCACAGAAAAGCCGCTATGAGACATACATCAATCTTCTGTGTGCAAAGATAAAGGCCGGGACAGATGATCTGGAAAAAATAGAAGCCAACCTCTTCACAATGGAAGCTGAAGACATCTCCTTGAGGAAGACTTACTCCAGCCCTTCCATTAGCCAAGGGCAGTTGCCTGTGGCAAACAGCAAAGCAGAGAAAGACATGACAGACCAGAACACGTCAGGTAACCAATAGGTTAAAGTAACCAGAAAGTGGTATCTTGTCCTCCTCAACTGAAACTTATGAGCACAATAGTTTCTTGGGTGTGCATTAAGTACATAATGCAAATACTACAGCAGAAAGAATTCAAAGAAGCTTCTCTTCTGGTGCTTAAGTATTCCAGGATCATAGACTGTCTGCACTGGTTATCACTGTCGACATTTCCCTTTACTGTGCATGCAATAAATGGACAAGTTTTCCATACAAGGATTGGGATGTTCTTTTGCCAGCTGTGTTTCCTTGTAAACAGCTGGATTTTCCACTGAACAACTGCTGCAGTGCTGTAGCAACATGGAGACACGACCAAATCTGTTCCTTTAACTACTTTAACTACTACCAGTGGTGCTGCTGTGCCACAGTCCTTACAATATACAAGTCAATAAATACTAGGACAGCAGATAAACAGAATCAATGGGCAGCATTTCTACAGGTAACTGGGTGAACAGTGTACATGTAAAATCAAATGCTATCACCAGAACTCAATGAGTGGCCCATGTATTGCAATAACTACATTATCTGCTCTACTGCCAAAATGTACGTACAGTTTTAAAACTTGGTGTCCAATATATAACCTTGTAAAGGTAAGAGTGCCCAAAAGGCGGACAGGAAGAAAATAACTTTGCTATACAGGGATCTTAGCAGTGCTAAGTAACGTTTTGAACATTTAGTAGCTTAATGGACATTTTTCTCTTCTGTAGCTGAATCCCAGCTGGCTGTGCTGCAGTGCAGGCTCTCCTCTTGCCGCGCACTCAGCCACCGTAAATAGGGAATTCTCTCTTGCTTCTTCTCCTGTGCCCCTTCCCTTCTGCTTCTACTTCATGGGCATTCAGGCAACTGCAAGCTAAGTGACATGCGTGGGGAGGGTGGGGGACCGAGCTGCTCATCACAGATAGCTGTACATATTCCATTTTGCTGTAAGCATAAATATACTCGCTCAATGGGATGTTGTGCTTCTGTTCCTTTCTTGCTGTGGTAGACGTGACTCCGCTGCGTTTTCAAGGCCTTCAGCACTTTATTTACTGATTGACTCATTTTCATCTTCTTTTCTAGACATGCTCACAGTTAATCAAGTTCCAGTTTTAAAGGATCTTGTGGCTGCTAATTACAGTAATTTACAGTTTCTATTTTTGCAGCTTTTTAAGATGAAGATAATAAAGAGATTTGTTTGGATTCTCACAGCTTTTGAGAATTTATAAATTATTGAGTTTCCATGTTTCGTACCACTGGGGAAGCCACCATCCTGTTTTGCCACCCCCTTTTTAAATCTCTTTGTTTTTGTACAGTTTGATAGTTTTATTTGAAATGATGAACTAAGAATCATGTACAAATGATGATGAACCTGTTAATAAAATGGATTAATCCAAAGCTCTACCTGGTCCTCTTTCTGATGACTTTCAGCAACTCAGCAGAAACGATACCCACACACACAGAGATTATCCACAGTGGAGGAAACTGCACATTTATTTCTTTCGGGTGGGCTGAGGAACCCCAGCCCAGAAAGAGTCACCTGGATCATTCCTTTCCATTTAGCCTGCAAAGAGATGCGGATTGTTGAAACAGTTTTCCGGGTATTTCATCTCCACTTCAGAGTTTAGAAAGAACAACAGGCTGGTGCAAGTTACAAATATGTACAAGAACACTATCATATACCCTCCTCCCATAGCGGGTAATAAATGATTATTACTAATATTACTTAGGGTTAGGGTTGGGAAGACCCTCCAACTTTAGTTTTCTTACCCAAATTCTCAGGCTCCCAAGATAGCACAAACTCAGATTCCATCTGGTCATGACCTTGACCACTGAATTCCCACTTTTCCCTGACTACCATCACATGAACATTTCTTCCTTCTTAGATTCTTTATTATTATTGTTGTTGTTTAGTTGTTTAGTTGTTTAGGCGTGCCCAACTCTTCGTGACCCCCATGGACCAGAGCATGCCAGGCACTCCTGTCTTCCACTGCCTGCCTCCCGCAGTTTGGTTGTAGTAGTAGTAGTAGTAGTAGTAGTAGTTATTATTATTATTATTATTATTATTATTATTATTATTATTATTATTTATACCCCGCCCATCTGGCTGGGCTTCCCCAGCCACTCTGGGCGGCTTCCAACAAAATATTAAAATACAGTAATGCATCAAACATCAAAAGCTTCCCTAAACTGGGCTGCCTTCAGATGTCTTCTAAAAGTCTGGTAGTTGTTGTTCTCTTTGACATCTGGTGGGAGGGCGCTCCACAGGACGGGTGCCACCACCGAGAAGGCCCTCTACCTGGTTCCCTGTAACTTGGCTTCTCACAGTGAGGGAACCGCCAGAAGGCCCTCGGAGCTGGACCTCAGCATCCGGGCAGAACGATGGGGGTGTAGATGCTCCTTCAGGTATACTGGTCATTTAGGGCTTTGAAGGTCAGCACCAACACTTTGAATTGTGCTCGGAAACATACTGGGAGCCAGTGTAGGTCTTTCAAGACCGGTGTTATATGGTCTCGGCGGCCGCTCTCAGTCACCAGTCTAGCTGCCACATTCTGGATTAGCTGTAGTTTCTGGGTCACCTTCAAAGGTAGCCCCACATAGAGCGCATGGCAGTAGTCCAAGCGGGAGATAACCAGAGCATGCACCACTCTGGTGAGACAGTCCGCAGGCAGATAGGGTCTCAGCCTGCATACCAGGTGGAGCTGGTAAACAGCTGCCCTGGACACAGACTTGACCTGCGCCTCCATGGACAGCTGCGAGTCCAGAATGCACCCACTTTTCCTACCTTCCCTTCCATCCTGGGAAAAAGGTGTGCTTTCTTGGTCTTGGCTAGCTGCAGGGCCCTGGAAAGTCATCTTACTGCAAGCCCTTTTCCCCAGACTTCCTGGCACCAAGGAAACTGGAGCTCCTTACACACCCAGCTAGGCACCCACAAGTGTACACCTGCTGAGCCAGTGGGACAAGCCAATTACATTGCTCCCCCAGAGCACCCAAAGGGGAAAAACCCACAATTGCAGGAACAAACAATTATCTGGGCATCTCACACATCATGTCAGAGATGTGAAAAGAGATAGAATGAAAATGTCTGTTAGCCATTTAGGGGCTGTCTGGCTGAAGCTACAACCATGTACAAGTTTGCCCAAGAACTCTGCTAAGCTATTCACCCCCTTCCCTTTGTTCTGACGAGGCTCTAGGCTTCCTGAGAAATGTGAGGATGGAGGGAGAGTGGCGGAGGAAAAACAAGGAGTGTGTGGGGGGGAATTAACTGAATTGCCCCCCCCTGTTGCTCATGAGACTTGGTGAGCTGTTAGTTATGTTCTCTCCATAAAAGGCAACGGCCATATCTAATGTGACTCCAACAAACTCAGAATGGATGATGAGAATGAAAAGCTGGGACTATTCAGGCCTTTCTCCCACAATGGCTAATGTCACAAGTAACAACAACAACAAAACTTGGCAAACATTCATAAACTGCCCCCCCATCGGGAAATACCGTATTTTTCTGTGTATAAGATGTCCCCATGTGTAAGACAACCTCTATTTTTTGAGTCCCAAATTAGGAAATAAATATTTTAAACACCAAACAGAACAACTTTGATATTTTATTAATATTCAAAACACCTGTATATTTAGTACTGTATATTTAAACATCAAACAGTGAGGCAAGCTGTGTAATGGTGGCTGCCCCTGTCAGCTCAGTGTAACTCCACTGTAGCTGCAGCTCCAGCTCTCCCGCCTGTGTGTTGCACTTTTGTCCCAGTATTTACGGTATGTACCGTATTTATTCCACGAGCGCGGCAGATGCAAACGCTGATCGAGGAGCTGTGACTGCCAGAGCTGCCTGAGTGAGTGCGCTTGGGGAATGGGGGTCTGGGTGGCCAGGGGGCGGCTGAGGGAACCGGGTGGAAGCAACAATGTCCAGAGTGGGGGCTGCTGGGGGGGGAATACCAGACCAGGGTTTGTCGTGAGGCCAATAGTGAGGGGAGGCTGGGGAGGGGGGGGGATATGGATGGTGGCATGTATTTATTTATTTATATTTTTAATTGCAACATTCCGTGTATAAGACGACCCCCAAGTTTAAGCTTTAAAAATTTGGGGGAAATATTTTCTTATACATGGAAAAATATGGTAGCTTGTTTTTTAAAGGTAAAGGTAAAGGGACCCCTGACCATTAGGTCCAGTCATGGCCGACTCTGGGGTTGCAGAGCTCATCTCGCTTTATTGGCTGAGGGAGCCGGCGTACAGCTTCTGGGTCATGTGGCCAGCATGACTAAGCCGCTTCTGGTGAACCAGAGCAGTGCACAGAAACGGCGTTTACCTTCCTGCTGGAGCGATACCTATTTATCTACTTGCACTTTGACATGCTTTCAAACTGCTAGGTGGGCAGGAGCAGGGACCGAGCAACGGGAGCTCACCCCGTCACAGGGATTCGAACCGCCAACCTTCTGATCGGCAAGCCCTAGGCTCTGTGGTTTAGACCACAGCGCCATCCGTGTCCCAAATTCAGACTCCATTGTGTTCCATGTTCATACTGGAGACTGAGAGTCTCCTCTGCAGCCTGCAAATACTCAACTTCATCCCCCGCTAGCCACTGAAGTAATAGAATATGTCCCAAACCCAGGCGCAAGGAGTCACATGTGACATCAGCAAAGGTTGCACTGCCTATTGGCAACTGCCCTCTGCCTCTCACACACCCACCCTGTGAAAGCCCATGGAGTGAGATGGTGTTGTTGTGCAGCTCTTGGTAGACACGTAATCTCAGAGCCTTGACTTCAAGCTCTGTGTTGGCCAAGAGAGTCCTGCATTGCAGAGAGTTGGACCAGGTGACCCTGGTCCAACTCTCTGTCCAGCTCTGCAATTCTCTGACTCCATGAAATCCAAGCAGGTTTTTGGAGCAGCCTCCTTTCCTTCCAGGCTTCCCTTCGCCCTGTGCCACAATGTAGTCTTCTAATAGGGGTGTTTTAGGAGCCATGCTCACCTGCGCCATTTCCCCTCAGGAGTGTGAGAGAGATTACTGGAGCCTGGCTAGACTCTGTACGCAATCATTTTTATTTCTGTATGTAATAATTGCTGGCTTCTTATTGTTGTGGGCATTCCTAAGTGTTTATTTGGTTTAATTGCCCAAGCAATCTGCAAATGCTTGTTGTATCACAGCAAAGAAAAATGCTTACAAAGCTTTTGTGAAAACTAGACTCTTGGCAGTTATATAAAAAAAGTAAGGCAATATGTTAAAGAAATCAGGCAGATGCAGATAAGAAATCTGTTTTATTAGGTAGGTGTAATAAAACCTATGTAGAAATGCATGAAAACATTAAAATAACTTTATGGGCTCTTTGGTGAATGAATCTGCGTATGATGTTTCACGCAAAGGAAAGCAGAGTTACATAAAATCTCAATAAATCTAGAATAAACCCCAATGTACCTGTCCATCTTTTTACAAAATGTCAAAAGGGGAATGGGATACCAAAAATGGCTATTAGGGCTGCACCTGCTGCTAAAGGCTGCACCACTTCCATGCTGTCCAACATTTCGCAGATTTAAGAAAAGGCACTCTGTGCTCAGAGCAAGGAAGAGCAGACAAAAACAGACATTTTGCTGCTGGCGTATACAGCACTAGTAAGCTACACAAAACAAAACTCATCTTTCAAACGTTTGATTTCATGATGGATCTGGTTGTAGTTATGACAAAATAGCTGCCATTTCAACACACTCAGCAGTTTACTGTCTGGATAGGTATCACCCACTTCTACCCACTAGGTCCCGAGCCTTGTACTCCAACCTGCAAAACGCATTATTTTCAGCACAGCATCATCTGAGGTCAGTGCCGGCTCCTGTGTCTTTTACCCAATGTGAGCAACAAGGCTCCCTGTTGATGACACTCAATGGAGCTTCAGTACCTTATTGGAGTCTAGACAGAACTGCATTTTATTGCAAAATCATGATTCAGAGTGTGATTTGAGAATAGATTTTTGTAAGTTTTCTCCTGTTCAAAGGCTGAACCTACACCAGAAAAGGAAATATGGACTTCCTGAGGCTCATGACAACTCAGCTATCCAGACATCAATATGCTTACCTGTATGACATGGGCATTTGAACAATGACTTTCCATGTTTGAAGGTTGGAGGGAGTAGGGGTATTTATTTTCTTTTGTAGTTTAAGCTTATTATTTGTAAAATATAAAAAGTGAGGCTATTCATTTTGCAAAACCCAATTTTTTTAAAAAAAAGAACTGGCTGAACAAACAATAAAATGGCAGGTGCATTCAAATCCTATGCTATTTTTTTCAGAGAAAATTTGCACAGGATTGCAGCATTAATGCAATTGCAACTTTATGCCAATTTGGGACAAATTATTGGTGTGTCAGAACCAGGGATGGAGGGGAGATTCAATTTGGTACATGTCGGAAGCCTAAACCCTCAAATTCACACTTTCTGGAACAATATGTGAACTGAAATCCTTTGAAATTTGCACTTATCTGAATTTTGCAATGCAATTCTCCAACCAACTATTTTTTTTTAATGATATATTACAGGAAAGTGTACACAGAATTACTATTGTTGTTGTTAAAATTAATATTTTCACTAACCAAATGCATTTTATTAAGGGGAATTGCTTGCAGAAATGTGTACAACAGTCAAAATTGTGTATAAAATGTGTTTATTAGGAGAAATTCACACTAAAATGAAAATGTTTTTTTTAAAAAAAAATCACACATTCCTGCAAATTGTGGAGAACTGAATTCAGGATTGGAAACATGAAAAACTGAGAGATCTGAAATTGATAGATCCTTCCATCCCTAGTCAGAATTGGCTTTGACAGCCCAGGTCAGAGCAATTTCACTGAAGGAATGGGATGGTGATTAGGCCAGGTCTGCTATTGCAAATCAGAGAACTTTAGTCTAGATCCAATTGAGACCTCCTATAATGGCTCCCAGTCTTTCATTTTCTCTCTCACCACTGACCGTGAAATTGATTTTAGAATCTTGGTAGTCATTTCTTACTTTTATTTATAATATTAAAAAAGTTCAAGTGTTAAACAGTCAAGAGTTCTGACATTCAGACAATCCAGAGCAATTTTTTTGTTTTGTTTTTTACAATCATCTTTATGACAAATTAGCAGCGTTTCTATTGGACCCTGTTGTGGATGAGGAACAAAGGGTTTAAAGTACTTTATTGCTAAAAGTTAAAAGAAATACACTGGCAATTGTATTTTAATCTTCTCAGTCACAGCTTCTCCATGCATCCAATCTACAGTATCTGAAATGCAAAGGACATGCAGAAGTCAAAAGAGAAAAAGAAAAGAGGCAGGCTAGGATGTAAACTGGAGGGCCCCACGAGGAATGGAAAGGAAAGAAGGGATCTCTCTCTGTCATGGGAGTTTTCTTGCCAGCTGTACAAAGAAGTTGTCTCAGAGCTGCTAGTGACCCGATGGGATGCCGTGCGGCTTGCTAAAATATGTAGATAGATATTTTTAAGAAAGTCATTATGAAACGCTAGAACGTTACAATAACAACTGTCTTTACAAAACAGGGCACACTGATAGTGGCATTTATTGTGTTTCTTTCGGGGGGGGGGGAGGTAGCGGCAAGAGCCAGCATGCTGGTGACGCTACTTGGGACAAGGAGGAGGAGGAGACAGCTAGTGTTCGGGTGATGTACTTCAGGAAATTCTTAGCTCACTTTGGGCTTTTAAAATAGGTGCGCACACGTCATCAACAGCCCCTGAACCTTCCTCGTTTTGTTTTATGACCAAGCTAGCATCAGAATCTGGGCTACACCTTTTTGGCTCTGAAGAACAGACAGCAGATGCTCAGAGTCACCGATGAAGAGCTAGCGCTTGTGCTCAGTAGCAGGGCTGAAGCAGATCTCAGAATCAGCATTTCTTGAAGTAGTCCTATTTAACCACACTGCTTTGAAGTATTTAATTTGTTTGATTATCTGGTTTCCCCTTGCTCGTGGATCTGTTTAAACTAAGTGATATATTGTAAGGGCTGTTGCTACTGTGTGCTTTATTAACTTCCTACTTGTCTTGTATTAAAAAACGTAATTACCAGTACATATTATTTTCCCTGAAAGGGAAAGGGACTTATGGAAACATTGACACATATGGTGTGTATGTATGTGTGTGTGTGTGTGTGTGTGAGAGAGAGAGAGAGAGAGAGAGAGAGAGAGAGAGCACAAAAGAGAAAGTGTATGTGTGCGCAACACTTTAAAAGCACTAGATTACCAACATCCAGATATCAAGCAATTTAAAAGGGTGTTTGTGTTCAAATGGAAAAGTGCTTATTAAAATATTCCATAACAAGTTGTCCTAAACATAAAGCTTATGATCTCAAGAATGCTTAAACGTAATTTTCATTGTGGACTCTGGCATTAGCGTACAGCAAAAGGCACCACGAATTTTGTTTTTTTTAAATGATTTGTAAGTAGTCAAAAATTGGCCCATCTCTTTAATTTTTTTTTGTTGATTTCTTCTTTTCTCAGAAGCTGTAAATCAAGATGTTACGTATAAATAGAGATTCCTTATAAAAAGGTCTTTGCCATTAGCTATTATAAGACATCATTGCTAAAATGAAAATAAAACATTTCATATTTTTTTCTTTTTTATATATAAAATAAAAATTTGTCTTTTCTGTTATTCCTCCCCGCTTCCTCAGTCCTGGTGTGTTCATGGGAGTGGGCATGAGGGAGAGTCGGTGTGGCCTCTAAGGTGGTGCTGAATCTTGGCGGGATCTGCTGTTATGTGTCACTTGGTTCCCTCCCTGCGTGTTGCATCTGTCGAAGGAATAGTAAGTCCTGCTATCGGCCAGGCGATAGAGAGGGGGTGAATCGGGGTCCATTGCCTCCATGTTTCTCATACTTAGGAAAGGCGTGCTCTCGGCCACCAGCTCCTCATCAGATTCACTGTACGAGGCGCTGCTCACTGAAAAGGAGTCTCTCAGCATTTTGCCCCTGTGTGACAGGTGCCCATTCAGTTTCGATTTTCTCCACCGCCTGTTGTTGCTGCCCGCTCTCTTTGGCTGATCTAGCACAGAGATGTACTCGTGTGTCGTCTCATATTCGTCGTCCTCCGTGATGCGGAAGGGACTGGAGGGCAAGCTCCCCGTGCTCTCGTTCAGGTAGCTCCTTCTTTGGTAGTAACTCTCATACCTTTGCATATCTTGGGAAGGGATCTGGTACCTTCGGAGCAATGGCTGCTGTTCCTCCACCTGGAAGCTAATGGATGCTGCAGGAGGCAGAGAGACTGCATGAGCTGAATTAGGAGAAGTGATCTCAAAGGTGGGCATGTGGGCTGATACGGAGCAATGGAAGTCAACCGGCGACAGGCGTGCTGGGGTGGTCAAGGCAGATACGTACCTGGAAGAAGAAACAACGGCATTGGGATCAAGCCGAAGGGTCACAATGAAGAGCTCTCCCCCCCCCCTTTAGCACACAACTTTAAATCCAGGCTGAGTTAATGCTTTCTAATAGCCCAACTTGCACAGAAATATTTTTTTCTGTTTGTGTGTTTTGTTTACAATGAGATAGAAAGAGGTGGCAAGGAGGCAGTCAACGTCCCGGGGCCTGGGAAGAATTACCACACCCACAGGAGCAAGGTGGGAATGGTCATGGGGTTCAGAACAATAAGGGGTGCATTTTTTCAGTTAGAGGCTCAGACCTTAACTTAGGAGCACAGATAAAACCCACAGGAAACAAATGGGATCACTTCTTTACATGTGAAAAGAACAATTATGAGCGAAACAGTTCAGTGATTTTTAAATTTTACAGCGGGAGGCAGATTAAGGCTGAAAACCTAACCCCACTTGTGTATGCAAGGTAAAACCCCAAAGTCAAGGTGAACAAGCAACAAGTAACAATCGTATAATTCAGTGCTTTTTTTCCTGAGGGGACGCATGGGTATGCATACCCCTAAACATTTTGTGAATCTTTGTACTTTTGTCCATTTATTGTATTTATTTCCCCCAATTCGAACTATAAAATGGTGGTTTTCTTGAGTTAAAATGAGAGTACTCCTAAACATGTATCTGAAACAATGCAAGATGATCCTCCTAACAAGGAACATTTCAAAATCATGAGGACAAAACACTACATAACAAGCTCTGGGGGAAATGATAGTAAAATTATGTTATTTATTTCCTCAAAGCATCTGCTGCCGCCTATTGTCGGAGATCAGACCCTTGTGATCATTTTTCCCAAGCAACTTGTACTTATGCTCAGACCAAGAAAATCAACCATTTCTACTTTCTCAGGTGAATTGTGTTATTCTGCAGACCACTATCTGGTGCATTTAAAACCCGAACATGCCTCTCTCCTCTACTTAAATGTCCTTCCTATTATCGTAGCCTCTTTATCCCATGGGGCGGGTTGCTATGTGTGTTTATTGAAAGTACAGTAGGTTCTCTAGGTTTTACTCAAGTGTGCACATCACTGCAGTTTAATCCCCAACATTGTTTCTGTCGGATGTGGATTAACCACAATGTAGTTCATTACAGCAGTATGTTCTCTAGCATTTTTGAGGACACAGTTGAAGAAAGTAATGGTGCTTGGCTGTTGCTGTCATTTGAAGAAGAAGAAGAGGAGGAGTTTGGATTTGATATCCAGCCTTTCACTCCCTTTAAGGAGTCTCAAAGCGGCTAACATTCTCCTTTCCCTTCCTCCCCCACAACAAACACTCTGTGAGGTGAGTGGGGCTGAGAGAGTTCAAAGAAGTGTGATTAGCCCAAGGTCACCCAGCAGCTGCATGTGGAGGAGCGGAGACGCGAACCCGGTTCCCCAGATTACGAGACTACCGCTCTTAACCACTACACCACACTGGCTCACACTGTTCAGTTTCCAGTTCTGTGTGAGCCTAAGATGGAAGTCACGTGGCAGCATTGGAGGAAATGGGAAAGAGATCAGTGAGGAAGATGTGTTAAGAGTCAAAGAACTAAGCACATGGCAAGCTCCTGGTTTGGGGCAAGCTTTGATCACAGTGGTGCTTTACAGCATGCAAACCACTTCACCTAGATTATATTGTTGTGATTCTGCAACCGCAGCAGACCTGCAGAGCAAGTCAGTGCTGTTTCCCCCAGGTTGCATATGGTGAGGCTGGAACAGATTACAGCTATCTAGTGGATTTATGGCAAATTTTAACCCTGGGCCTCCTAATCCAGGCTCTTGGGGCTCATTCACATTTACCTTTTGCGCCACACTTTCTAGGCACAGGTCTTCACTTTCCCGGTCTATGGCCAAGTGTTGTTGTCCTTGTCATCCCACTGCTTTCCCTAGGAAAATCTGCTCTTTATTGCTGAATCAGAGCAAATGGCAATTCAAGTTTTCCGCAGAATGCCATTTACTCCAATTCAGCATTAAGCAGCAAGGTTTTTGCAGGGAAAGCAGTGGGGCAAACAAACAAAACTGTCGGACACAGACCTGGAAAGCCCAGACCTAGAAATGCACAGCAAAAGTAAGTGTGGACGAGCCCTTAGCCATTATGCCACATGGCCTTTTAATGTGTGTGTGTGTGTGTGTGTGTGTGTGTGTGTGTGTGTTGCAAAACGAAAACAAAAAACCCCTTTAACTCAGTTTATTCATCTTGACTCTGGAATTGATGCTCAAAGCTCTCACCATCCCCCTCCTTCTCTCTCACTGTTTCATGAGGGAGACTGGACATTGTGTGAGGGGGGACTTTTCTCTGCTTTTCAGGTCTGTGAAACTCCATCCATACTGACAAGCAAGTGGGAACAGCAAGCGAGAATAACAGCAGAAAACGAGACCTCTCACTATGTGGCGAGTCTCGAAGGGAATCCACGGAGTCTCTGTATTGCATCATGGGCCTCCTCTGCTCCTCACTGGCATAGGCAGCCTCCCTCCGAGCGCGAGCCTCCACGCAGGCAGGGCTGTTGCAATTGCTGGTCCCCACCGAAGACAGCATAATCCCAGACTGACAGTCCGAAGTCAGGCTTTCTGTCTGCTCCAAGCTCCAAGTGTGGCTTCCATGTCTGCGGATCAAACCAGAGCAAGTGACTTTGGATTCCTCCCAGCAGCCTCATACTGCATGGATCCACACAAATTACTTAGCAGGCTTGACTTGTGAGAGAATAAAATGGGCTAACCCCAGGTATGCAGCTCTAAGCTTCTTGGAGAAAGAGGGTTAGAAAGGAGGCTGGTAATGAATGCAGCTGTTCCCTGTGTTTCTACTTATACATGGGCATGCAGGGGTTAAGAGCACAAAGTTCCATGTGGAGCATTTTCTTGGGGGACCCACCTCACCCCTTTCACCACTCCTTCTGACTGCTCAAACCCACTCAGAGCTGGACAGAAACACTCAAAGGGGCACAACTGATTTTGAGAGAGAGACCGAGGCTGCTCACCCCTTCCTTCCTGGCTGCCTGTCTCTAGAAAGATAAGAGGACCCTGCTAGCATGAGGGAGGTGAGATCTGAAAGCAAAATGTCACAGGCACAAGCAAAAGTCAATTACTGAAACTAAACTGTTGCAAATGAGGCCACAGGCCCGCAAGGAACATTTCCATCATGCCATTAACTGAAGGGCTTTTCTGCACTCCCAGATGTCTGCATATGCACAGATCACTATGCAGGTAAGTTGAGACCAAACTGAGTTTTGAAGCTGGTGTGTGAAGTACCTTTGCCTTGAATTCGGAGTCCCTGTGGAGCACGGGTGGGATGGTGAGCAGGAATGGCTCCCTGAAAAAGTGGTCTCCGTTTCCCTTCGTATGACATGCTCAGTAGCAGGAACATTTTTCGACATATACTGGGCGGAAAGTCACAAATTATCTGTCATCAATTTTAAGCTGAAAACATTGTTTTATTTATAGGCTTGTTATAAACCATACTACATTATGCTTCCATTTACAGAGGATAAGAATTAGGGCAGCCAATTCAGATCGCCCTAAATATGCTTGACTTTTGTTCTTCAATTTCAGAACCTCCAAAACAATTAGCCTGCCTGGAAGTGCTGCTTATGATTGCTTTTAAAAGCTTATGACCTTGTGATGCTAATCTCTGGGCTGGCATCTCCCCAGCAGCAGAGCACAGAACACGAAAGATGCAGAGCAACACATATCACCGGAGGAGACAACTTGCATATAACAGCAATAGTTGCATCACCCAAGCAGAAAACCAATCTCTTTAGAGACGTTTAAGTCTTGCCAAAATACTAAGCCAGTGAGGAAATGAAACCCCTTTCCACACACCAAATAGCACCAACTGAAATGCACAGATGCTCATCTCAGACTACCCAAATGAAGCTAACACTTATTATCATGTTTAATTCCTACCCAGCCTTTAAGCCCAGGACAGGGCTGCATATGAGAAAAAGCAGTAAGATTAACTTGCAATCTTTAAAAGAAACAACTATAATAGCAAACCGGACTCCTCCAATTAATTGAGCCAAAGGTGGGGGCTGCTGCATGACGAAGGCTTTATCCTTACTGGAAGGCATTGCAAGGCAGTGGTGGGGGCAGCCTGAAGACACACCGTGGCTGTCAAAGTGGGCAGCACAAAGGATGGAAGGATCTGCAAATTTCAGTGATCTCCGTATCTCATTTTTTCCAATCTTAAATTCAGTTCTCCACATTTCCACAGCAATGAAAATTATTTGGCATTTTTGTGTGAGTTTCTCCAAACCGACTTTTAAAAATGCGGTTTTACATAATGCGCACACTTTGGCAAGCGATTTGTCCTAATACTATGCATTTTTATGTTATGTTATAACAGGCTCCTTTCTTAATGCAAACCTTACTGTGAATATATGCATATTTGTAAACACTGTTTGATTGGAGAAATACATCACAACATTCAGTTAATTACCAATTTTGAAGGAAGGTTCTGTGTTTTGGTTCTCAGATTGTTCTAGAAAGTGTGAATTTGATGGATCCGCCTCTAAATGCAATGAAAGTTCTCCCCCATCCCTGGGAAACACACCAGGTGTGTTTGTAGACCCTCTGGGCTGCTGCTTGCCCACTCGGCTGCTATGCACCTGCAGGGACTTGAAGTAGCAGCCTCTATTTCTTTGTCTCTCAGTGTCCTAATCTCCCTTCCTCACATACAGCAGCTCTCAGTGCAGCACCTGGGAGCCCCACCAATAAACTACTACATGAACTGCCTCTGGAAAAGCCAAGGGAGGGACAAGAGGGTGAAAATGAAGAAGGGAAATAGAAATAGAATGGGGGGGGAGAGCAGGAGGAGGAGGAAATGACCATTTCTTTCTCTGTCCTTGATCTATCCCCTCCCCCCATTGACATTTCAGAGGTTCCCACACCCTAATTTTTTTAAAAAAAACTCTACTTACATCAGCCATCTGAATTTCCTCAGGGTCCAGCCGGGGGTGACTAGGGCCATTTGCAAGGTTTCTGTTCTGATGGGCTGGACACATATTTTGCCGCAAATGGTTATGCATTTGATTTCTCTGTTTTCTAAAGAGTTAAACAGATTAATACATTTTACTGACGCTTGCCTTCATCCTGAAAAGATATTCATATCCGAATAGGGGAATAAAATGACGAAATGTTCTTTGAGGATTGGAAACCTTTTGTAGAATATCTAAAGGACTATTGTAATTGAATGAAAATGCCAGTAGGATTTGAAATATGAGCAACAGTAGAAAGACATTAACTTAGGATGTATATATGGAGTGTCATAAGTTAAAATATACAGCATTAAAAGATAAACATAGAACATCATGGTGGGAGGGATGGGAAGTCAATGGAAAAATTAAACGTATTGTTGATGGCAAAGTATGTAAACCTTTGAAAATGAAATCAACATTTTTTAAAAAAGGGAAATACAAAGCTTGACAATGGTCAGCTCTTGTTACTGCATTCTTGTGCCAAGGAAGACAGGGTCCCCCTTTGGACAAGCGGCTGGGAATTAGAGAATTTTTGCTTGCGCTCAATCTTTGCAGTTTGCATATGGGAACTTTATCAGATTAGGTAAGACACTGGAGATGCATGAAGAGAACAGTAGTACAATTACTTCAGCTGGGAATTGTTCTTAGCACTACTCTCCTGCCTTGTTGTTCTCGTTAGACTAAGGCATGGTTTTCAGTGTGTGCATTGATGTATTGAGAGAGGGAGCCTATTGGCTTACATATGGTTTCAATGTCTCTATGTGGGGTTTTTTGTTTGGTTGTAAATCACTTTGGGTTGCCTTGAGCGAGATAAAGCAGCTGAAAAAATAGTAATAATTAGTAAATAATAATAATAATAATAATAATAATAATAATAATAATAATAATAATAATATCATCTACACTTCAGTAAACTTTTACTATTACGGTTCTGGTTTGCACCACTTTATCAGTTTTTTTTTTTTTGTTTTCTTTAAAGATCTTCTAATTCACACTTCAACAGTTTTTTTGCCTATATTTCTAAAATTGTTAACAATGTAACTTACCATGGGTGGCAACAATGGCGCCTGAGGGTATCAGAGTAGCAGCACTAGTGCTGATCCCTGAGGAATGGAAGTGGAGCAAGGTGGCAATGAGGTGGAGAGAGCTCCCGGTGGGTGGTAGCATCCACCCACTTGTGGGACCGACAACAAGAACCCAGAGCTCCCATGACCTCACTTCCGCCTCACTCGGCCCCATGCCTGTCCTGGCGAGTGGACACTGCTCTAGCCTTCTCCCATGTAGCTATGCTGAAAGCACTATCTGAAAGCACTCTGGAACTGCATGTTACAGTTGTTGAAAACAGTAGACCCACTCCCTTCCTTTTCCTCCCTAAAGCTTAGTAAGGTTGCATATAGGCGTAAATAAAACCCTATGTGTCCAGTGAAACTGATCCTTGGGTAAGTCCTGGAATCCCTGCGGTGACGCCACTCAGAGCTCAGGTTACACACAACAGTAATTAGGGCTGGTAACAATTGGAACTTTAAGAACGGCATAAACTGTCCATGCATTATAAAAGCTCTCTTTACTATTAATAAAGGACACTCACTTGGTTTTACAGTAGGCTACCACACACACTATTCCCACAATAAGCAATGCAACACAAATCCCAGTTATGGTTAGAACTCTCTTCTGATACAGCTCCTCAGCTTCTGCAAATGACATAAAAACAATGAGCGGTTAAAAACATATCAGTTTAAAAATGTGAATTCTGAATATACCAAGCCTCTCACTAGGAGATTGGAACCCAATGGGCTCTTTTGCTGATTTATACACTAAAATCTGTACTCCTAACCCAACATTAGGTGTAGATATTCTACTTCTCTCCAAACCTTTGCTTTTACTATTTCCTGTCTATGTGAATCAAATCCAATAAAAAACAATTCACACTGGGTTCCTTTTTCTTTCCAAGACATCTCTCCCATGTTTTCTAATAATCCCACAAACCTACCTACTTCTTTTTTGAACAACTATTTGTAGAATACCCGATGCATGACAGCATTCAAGCAAGAGCTTGGCAGTTCTTCCATCTCACAGAGGTCTCATGTTCATAGAGTGGTCATGTGTCCTACTTTAGAGAGAGCGGTCTTGCATTTGAAGAACCTCTCTATTAGAAGGGCTATCTGGTCCAAGTCTGGTTTAAAGATAAACAACCCTGAGAAGAGAAAAGGAGGGGCCTTGAAGTTGGCCATCAACGCTTAGCACCTGAACAGCGGAGTAAGCCGGCATTCAGGTCACATGGTCATCCTTCCCCACTATGATGAAATGTATTGCAGTTGTTTAAATTATGTAATGATGTCTACATAAAATAATAAATATAACACATAAAACAATATGCACATTGTATATATATTGATCTACTTTGTTTCTTTTCTCTTTTTTGGCACTATGTCAGTGGCGTCTTTTCATACTCACAAATGTCCTTCAATACTGTGGAAAATTCATGTTGACCCACAGTGGAAACACTTTCTGAGTTCCATTTTTTGTTGGTAAAGTGGCCAAAGGAAATATATATCTACATACACTTCGCTCTGAGCCCCGTATTATAGTCTATCATCTCTTAACTCTGGTAGCATTTAGAAGTCACAGAACGCACACGACTAACCAGAAGACAGTGGAAGAGAAACTGAACCACTGTGTATCTTTTGGCTACTGGAGCCTCTAAGAACAGCAGAGGAGTAGGAGAGTATCCAGGACTCAGCTAGATAGGTAAAGAAGAAGCAATTTATATGCGTTGTATATGCAATATAACATTGTGGAGTCCCGTTTTTCTCTACCAGATTTCCCTATTTAAACTTACAACGCGTTTAACTGAAATGCTTCTTTGATGTGTCTAGACCCAGCCTCTCTGCTATCAGAAGCTGTGCAGATGAACCAATGGTTGGAAGTGATTACTTGCTGGGGGAAAATGGGTTGCCTGCATGGGTGTCTGCAGGGAAGACAGGGAGGGCAATTGCCCACACTCCCCTGAATAAGCCACAATCTCCAGTTTCTCAGCTTTCTTTTCCTTTTTTTAAATTTTGTCTCTAGCACTTGAGGGACACGAGATATGAGACACCATCTGCAGGCACTATTCTCGCCCATTGGTTTTTATGACAGACTAGCCTGCTCCCACGTTTCAGTACTTTTGGTCAATGAATGAAGTGTCGGCAATAACTGATTTTTAGGAAAGAAGATCTAGCCAATAAGGCAAAGAGAAGGTTTGAATGAAACATGAATTATATAGTCTTCAAAACAGGAACATCTTGGTTTGTTCTTAAGACTTTTCTGAAAGTCTTTAATGGTGGAGAAGCAATTGCTGCCCCACAGAAAGCAATTCTGCTATCCAGAATTGTAGTGTTGCTGTGGTTGAGGTGTAGTAGCTCAAAGACAAAGGCAGCAACAAAGATCTTCCTGACTCATATCTTATTTCATACAAAAATTATTTTTCTGAGTTAGTAAACATTAAAAAAATTACTGGGCCAATGAAAAAAAGCCACCATTATTATGGTCATATTGCAGAGGGTAGGACTGGTGCTGAGAAAGCATGGGTTATGTCGACCCTGCAAAGTAACTCAGTGTTAGTATACACATTTTGCTGGGCGGAGGCAGGCTTAGAGTAGCGTATGGCCACCATGAAGGTGTAGCCCAGTGTTGTGAGCCTGTCAAGTCAATTGGAGCAGAAGTGAACCTGGTTAAAGGCTGGGAGAGGGAAAGAAACCAGGGAAGGAATGGGGGGCTACAACTGTGAGTGAACAGGTGGCGTTTAGATGCAGGTTCACCCACTGAGAAAACAACAGAGAAGCAAACCTGGAATATAATTTTCTTAGAGGCCAGGTCTAACAATGTCTCACATCCACTCAGTCACCAAATCTCCTAGAAATGGTAGATATGGTCTCTAATGCCAGTCATGCTTGTTTGTTTGGCGTATCTGCCTCCATGTTGTCTGAAATGAGGCTCTTCAACAACTGTGTCTCTCTCATTGGGGCATTTTATACGAGAGTAGAGTGCCAATGGCTTGCTTGTTGGCTTAGCATCTCTCATACCTATTTGTCTCCCATCCTTTCCCAATCAATCCAGTCCAAGCCTTCCACAAAATAACCAATTGTTTCCCCCGCCCTAGTTTTTAGGGTTAGGTTTGCATTTTATTTACAGCTGTGTTCTGTTTTCTGTATTAATACTTAGTCTTCTGTGTTTGTGTCTAAGTCTTGTGACTTCATTGTACACAGTCCAATACATTGTACACAGTCAGTGAGCAAGCAGCACACATACTGGGTAATATTACATATATCAGTGCAGTACAGTCTTAATAAAATTAGTTTCTTGTTTTTTTTGGGGGGGGATACAAACTTAAACACAAGCAGAAAATGACTGTCTGAAATTTGGCAAGGCTAATCCTCTCTTGGGAGGCTACCATGTCTCCCAATATCATACACCTACGTGGAAAAAAACAAAAAAGTAATGGCCACTTTGATTTCAGAGTTTAAGTGAACATGAACACAAGGTTTTGATTTCCAGTCCCAGATCAGGTTGCACTGGGCTCAGATTGATCCAAAATTAATCAGGGCTGGATCCAGATGACCAAATCAGGCCCTGAATTGGATGGGGTGAGAGACTGAGTAGTCTCCCTGGGAATGGAGGGTCTGAGTAAGGAATGACTGCAGATAAGGCAATATAAATTATAAAAATCCATGAAGGAATGGTTCGTAGTCTGCGCCAAATAATTCACTATAAGCAGTAATCACATATTTTAGGTATATGGAATATTTTGGTTTATAGAGTTAGAAACAGATACACACACACACACACACACACACACACACAAACACACCTTTGTCTTTTTGTATATGCATACATACTTTCTAATTTAAGGCAGTTATCTTGTCTGGCATGAAAAGCTCTGTCTGAAGGCCTAATCAAATGTTATGGGCAAACAAGTGTCACAAAACTCTCATGGCTGCTTTTGTTGCAGAAAAGCTGCTTTAGGAAGTGACAACTTAGAGCACAGAAGCAGGAGGAGGGAGGACTGCTTAACCCTTTCATCACCCACTGAAAATGATCCCTTTGGGGGGTTTGTTTGTTTGTTTTTTGGGGGGGTTGCAACCAAACCAGCAGCTGAAGTTTGTTGCACATACCTGTGCATAAATTTTTATCAGGCCCTTATTTTAGAGTCTTACAAATCAATTCAATTCTTTCACATCCTTAGAGTAACTTTTCAGCCCATATGAATTCTACTTCACTTTTACAGCTACTTCACAAAAAAGTGGTATGAACTAACAAGGAGGCTAATGTGCGGAGGGGTCACTGCCCATGAACTTCTGATTTATTCCACAATAAGAGTCTAAGCTCCTCTATTTGAACACAGCTATAGGAATAAAGGAGTAATGCACTTTAAAGTATGAAAGGTAAGCTTTTGCAATGCTGTCAAATTTGAACCAATAAATGAAATAACATGCCCTAAAAGCATAGCTGTCAACTTTCAGATTTGAAAACAAGGGATCAGCAGCCTCACCTGTCCCGGGGACAGTCTACAGGATACTAACAATCCGGGATAGCAGCAGGAAGCAGCGGGAAACTGGAATAAGGGAATTTCCCGCAAAAAAAAGGGAAGGTTGACAGCTATGCCTAAAAGGTGTGCTACAGTGCAATCAGGCAGCAATCCAAACACACCCTGTTTATCTCGGTAGGTTTACTTTGGAGTAGGCATGCATAGGATTGCAGTCTAAATGTTGCAGGCAGCAAGAATGGAGCATTTATACCTATTCTCACCTTTTACTTACTCATGTTCACTTGTTTCACTTCTTTCACCGTTCATTTAAGAATAGCAATCAAACGTATTATGAGTTCTGTGCCTTCTGTGCATATAGCAAATGCTCAGGTGCATTCATTCTTTTCATTTTTCATTTTGTCCGACTTTTAACATTTGTGATGCAATGCGAATTTGCTGGTGCAGCTGATGTACCACGGCTGCACTGGCAAACCACTGCTGTGCTCTGTGTCATTCTGTTGATGCTTGCCATCCAACATATTTTGCAAGCCAACACATGTCTTAAGAATGGGCTTTCAGTAATCCTGCAAGGGATTAAGAAGCTTAAAATGAAGCATTATCACCAATGCAGGCATCTTGTGTAGAAAAGATTGTTCTCTGTGAAGTGGTGGTTTCATTTTAATTTTGGGCTTGCTGGCATCTGAAAACTGACCTGGTGTTCTACATAACTCCTCCCTTTAGGATTTAGCAAAAAAAAACAAAAAAAACACAACAGTTCCCTCTCTTAGTTCCCAGAGTCCTCTGTGTGTCATCCAACCAAGTAGAGGTGCTGGGTGGATCAGGATCTGGCCTTTACTCAGAAAGGAAGGCACCAAAACCAGAGTTTCTTATCATCTGTCACTGCTGGCATCTACTGCCTGACAAATGGTGAAAGAAAAACTCATCCCCACTTTAGGACCAGGAAGGAAATTTCAATAATGACCTATGTGACGATCACATAAGATGTCCTAAGCAATTTACAGCTTAAATTCCATTCCAAAAAGTGGGTATCAAACTTAGCCTTAAAAAGAGTGTTTTCAAATATCAGGCTTAAAGCGCCTTTTAGCCTCTCTCCTGCTATTCATGTTGATGCCAGAGAACAGAAGGGCACTGTAGACTTCACTTTCAGCCTCAGGTGTGAATATA